AATAGTTACTTTTAAATTTCATTATTCTCAACATTTTAACTTGTATGTTTGTAATTTTTAATAATATGATTGATACCGTTTTATAAATATATTATTATTATTAGAATTGTCCGACTATTTTCACAAAATTTTTCAATAAAACTTTTCTAATTCACATTTGTATTTTTAATTTTTGTTAGAAAAACTTTTAAAATTTAATATTTTTACATTACTTATAAATACCTTTGATAACCTAAATCAAAATGTTTTCAAAGAAAAAATTTATATTGTAATAGAAAAAAAAAAATATTATTCTTTTTCTTCTCCAGCTTTTGTGTTCCTTAAAGGACTTTTACTGGCTCATCTACATTCCTCCATCTATCCATCTATGTTGAAAAAATATTTATTATGATATGTTATTATAATTTCACAATAAATTTCAATAAAATTGTATTCTTAAGTTAAAATTATATTTTTTTTTTCCATTAATTCTGAAAAGATCTCAACAATATTGTCAACATTTTGAGATTTTATTGAAAAATTGAAAAATTCTTTATTATGAATTGAATTATAATCATACGTGTTTTTTTTATAGTATTAGAGTATTTTACTTTATAACATTTTATAACTTTAAATTATCAACATTTAAACTTGTATGTTTATAATTTTAGATTTTATAATGTCAAATATTTAAAATTACATTTTTGTTGATATATTTTAACCAATAATTAACAAGTTGGTTCTGGTTTTCTAGGACAAATTTGGTGAAAAGAAAACAAATTTGATAGTTGTGAAATATAGTTTTACTAATTAACTTCTAATTAGGTAGGTATTTATTAAGTCCATCAATTAATTATTTAATTCTTTTTTTATAGTTGCTATAGTTGCTATTTTTCATTCCATTACTTTTATCCAATTTAATCCTAGAAATGTGTAAACAAATTAAATATTTTATTCTATATTTATTTTAAAATGTAATTAATACAAAGAACTGTGTGTTAAATTTTGAAAACCAATGTTATTGAATAACTTAATTTATGTATATATTTTATTTGTTAAAAAAAAAACTAGTCTTCAATTATGTATCAGTTTCGTAAAAAGTATTTTATAATGACTACAACACAAATTGTTAAAATAAATCTATTGGTCTATAGTATGGTGTACTAAAATATATTAGGCTGGTGTTAAATTTTTTCTAAAGTATCTACTATTTACCATTATAGTAGATTTGATATACATACCTTGTTAATAATAATTAATTAAGTAAGTATGTAATATTCAATGTACAATGGGAAGTATAGTAAATTATTTATTTTAAATTTTAATATTCCATCATGTGTTGTACTTACATTTAACATTAGTGTATAATATCAGGCGAGTTTTAATTTTGGCAGAACAGAAGTAATTGCATTTTTTGGAATTTGAATAGTTATGGTTTGAAAACTATAACTGGAAAATACCAAATGATAATTATTTTTAAAATTAATATAACTTATATAATTGTTATCCCTGATTTTGTAATTTAAAAAAAAAACAAAATAATCATGTATGGATTATTTATATTTACATACATTTTAATACAAATTTATTTGAGAAAAATTACAAACGTTTTTTTGAAGGTCGGGAAATTAGAGCTTGGATTAGTTGTGATTAGGGTCGGTCTGTTGATATTATGAAGAACCGTATACTAAGACACAATGTGGTGAACCACGATTAAATACTAGTTATAAAGTACAAAATATTATACATTTATATTTTATTAATATGCACTACGTCGAACCATAAAATATTAATGAATAATCAAATTATATAAAATCATAAACATGTAGTTATTAGTCCATATTTTTAAAAAAATAGTGTAGGTACAGTTTCATGTACACCATTGTTAAGGGCACTATTAAAATAGTTGGAATCTCTTTAATGCACTAACGAGAGAAAATTTAATTTTAGAAAAGATGCTACTCACCTACATTTGATATTTCGGAGCAAGATTTTTGGTAGTAAAGTTGTTCACAGATAGAAAAAAAAAACATATACCTACCTACCATAATACATAAAACCAATAGTTCGAAAATGAATTGATAATTTATGACGTACCTAATAAAGTTACAAAGTATGTATAAATAAATGTCGTCAAATAGCCTTCTTTTTAGCGATCCACATTTTTGGCCAATTTGAGTTGAATATTTATATTTAATTTATTCATGTAATACGATTTACCCATCGTTTGATTCTCTTTTTTATCATTCTGGTCTACTTTTTGAATTTCCGTTCAACGAGTTAATATTTATTAAATAATATTAATATGATAACACTAACGCTATCTAATAGTGTATCTATGAAACGGAGTCCGACAACGATAAAAAAAAAAAAGTAAAATGATAAAATTGTTTATAATATTTGGGCTATCTTAATTGATTCAATTGCTTTATTTGTAATTATAATAAATTTAAATTGAAGACTTGTTTCTACGATTTTTCAAATTGAAAGATTTACCATATAAATGATGTGCCGTAAGTACCTATATCACAATCATAATTAATATTAATTCCAAGTGCCAAAATATCGTTGTTTTTATTATGATGATCATCAATATAAATATTTAAATTACTTAACCTATTAATTTGTGTTATCATACAAAGGATACCTATTCTGTGGCGGTGCGAAGTATTATTACTTTCACTTGCCAATTTCATTTTCTACCCACTCGTCTATAAAATATTCCCACCCTACCATACATTGTCTGTTAACTATCAGGAGTTTAACACTAATTTCCACAGGTTTTGAAAATTTCAAACGTTCAACAGTCTAATACACATTGCACAATTTTTTCATCTATGTAATATGCATACACACTGATGTATTTTCAGAACACTATCCTATACATTTTGTTTGCTTATTGTACTAAAATAAATACAAAGTGTTAAGTATATTTTATTTCGTAAAACCTTAATAGTTTCACCATAATATTTCTAAAAAACCAAGCCTCTACAACCAGTCTTCTCTCCCATTTTTCTATGAACTACATGGTTCAAATGTATCATTTTGTGCCACCATAGGTATAATTAATTATCTTGAGTAATGTTTTAACATAATTAATTTAAAGTTAATATATTCAGGTTATTGGGATACCTATTGCTCCATAATAAGAATTACGTGCTTCGATAGTTTGACCTTTTCATAAATAATGGATTCATAAATTATTTATTTTCTCAACACATCCAAAATTTATGTTGCATTTTAATCAAACATGGATCATTCATATTATCCTTACATTTATTATAATGCAGAAAAGAAATGTAAAACAGCCAACATAGTTGGAATCTCGGAAAGAGGTATAGGTATCCTATATGTTATAGGTACACAGTGGGAATTTATGTAAAATGATAATTTTCAATGTTGACGATAACTTTTGAAAATGAACGGTTTAAAAAAAAATTGGTAGGTATGTATAAATTATTTCTATTAGCTTTATTTTTTAAATTAATTGGTGGTTTTCTTATTATTTTAAGGTTTATAATTATTAAATTGCATACAAGATGAATGTTTTTACTTTTTACAAATTCAACAGCATCCATCACATTGTTTTTGAAATCTGGACATTAGCAGATTTACTTAGCTCTGAGTGGTTGTTTTCAATTTTGTGAATTGTGTATCAAACAACATTTTTCGTGTAAGACATAAGTACCTAACTGTTCTGATCTTTTTATGGAATCATATTATTAATTTATTTTTTTACAGTGAGATGGTTAAGGTGATGAATTTCTATCTTTAGCGATTCAAGTTAAGCTGATATCATGTAATGAATTTTCTGTTCTATCTGAAGAAAAAGTAAAGAGAGTAAAAATATTAATTGTTCAATTAAATATGTTTAAATTATTAATGTTTTTTTTTAAAATTAAACTGCTTAAAAGCTTTCATTATAACAATCAAAGATCTTTAACAATACATTTAAAAGGTGTACATGAATACTGATGGTGTATGTATATAAAAAAAAACATGCAAGGAGTCTTACTCTCAGTGGAGTGTCCTCCCCTCCTTAAGTTAGTCTAAGAACTTAAATAATTTTTTATTTATTTATTTTAATATCAATGTTTATTAGATACTTGAATGTGTTTGTTGGATGAGTCGTGTACTAAAAGTTCTAGAGAGGGCTGTTTTTCTAAATTGTTTGACCATATACCATTAGCATTCAAAGAATATTGACTGATAACAGAAGAACCACTTATTGAAAAAAAATATATGTTGAGTATGTGATTTCTTTAAGATGACATTATACTCACATGTTCTGTCACAGTACAACTACGTGAGATTATAATTATAAAATTAAAAGAGGATATTATTTCAGAGGGTAAGACAATGTGTTTCTTTTTTAAATTTTACAGTCATTTAAAAATGATGAATTAGTTTTTATTTCTAAAGTATGTATTGAATATTGTATCAAGAATAATGATTAGAAAAATAGGAAAAGTGCTACCATCTTGCTATCCGGAATATTGTCCTAATTTAATTTTATAATAAATAATTTTATTCTAAAACCAAAATTAAGTGAGTTCTAAGAAAGATGTAGATTTTGCTAGATTGCTCGTTAATTGAACTGAGACAACACATGCAAGTATATGTGTCTTTAAATTAATATTTTTACTAATTTAATGAGTGTTTTTAGGTTAAAATTATGTAGATAAAACATTAGGTTTTCATCTTAAGAATTATAATCACCCTAGATTCTAGGTTTAAGATTGCATCCAGTTACTTAGCATGGAACTTGACTGCTGTTTTGTTTTTTTAAGCTTTTCAAGTTTTTTTTCGTGTGTCACCGATTGAATATTCACTAGTAAACTAGGTATGTTTTGTATTAAAGTGTCTCTCCAAATTTAACTTTTTATTGTGCTCCAGCTTTTCGTGACAAATGAGGCAAGTCGGAAGGCCATCTGTGTTGCATATGAACGCAAAGAACTCCGTTCAATCCTGATGAAATTCTCTATTTTCTTCAGTTCTTTTCCATTTTTTATTAGATGCCATGATGACGCTGAAATAATGATTTTTTTAATTAAATTGTATTGTATTTTATTATATTACATGTGTACACACCTTTCAAAAAATAATTTGTTTCTAAATAGTCTTCTTCTCTACATTAAAACAATGAGCGAAAAAATAAAATATAGTGAAGATACAGCCAAAAACCAGAAAATTAAATTAACACGCACATGCAATGTAATGTCTGCGCTGTATATGGATGACTGATGTCAATTCGTAGAACAAAATAAGTCCTAAAATGATATCGTATTATTTTGGACTTTGTTCACATTGTTAACTTGGTGTGACAGCGTATGACTAATTAGTTGTAGATAGCGCCAAGATTATATTAGACTCTATAATAAACATTTTACAACATTTTAGATGATAGATTGTACTCCATGCAGGCACTATCAAATTATTTTTGTTATATATTATTTCATATTTTTAAAAGCAACAATATACTTTTTTTTATATTATAAAATATTATTTTTGAATTAAAATATTAATTTTTGTGTGTGTAGCTGGAGAGCCACAACTTTAGACCGAAAGAGCCACATGTGGCTCGCGACCTCTGGCCTAGAACTATTCCAAATACAATTAGTTTTACACCTAGATGACCAGATGGTTTATCTAAAGTAAGTTTTCTTTGTGACTTATTTGATTATTACAATTAATTAGTCTATTCCTACTTAATAGGTTATTTGTGGTGAAAAATATGAAAAAAATTGTTTTGAGCGGTATAACCCAGTTACTAGCAGTTGGTAGGTGACAGATGATAGATGGTCCAGGTCAAAAATGAGTACAGTGTTTGGGAAAAAATATTTCATTATTTAAAGATGATCCTACATTTGCTGTGGGTAGCTATGATATTTCACTTGCAACAAATAAAATTAATATTTTTTTACAATTAAATAAATTAATGATGTCTTATATTACAAGATTGATGTATATGATGGAACATTTTTTTTTAAAGGGCATTGAAGTTTTTGACTGAAACTCATATGAATTATCTCAAGTATGTGTCATTGGGAAGATTTTACTTTTTTTTTTTACTATGGTATTAGCTTTACATTTTAACTAATTATGACTATTAATATTGATTAAAATTTGTATCTATTGATTATTTTTAAATTGTTTAAATTAATACACATTTTTATATGGTTATGTAAACATTATAGTATCTGTTTTATACAATGTTATGTAAATCACTGTTCTAAGTATATTTCACTATGAAAACAAAATATATTTTAATAAATTATAAACCACCTGCTATAGTACAAATTAACCACCTCAGGAATATATAACAATATAGAATGTAAACAATTAGTATTGTGTTCTTATTATTATTCAAAAAAAAAAAAAGATAACAAAAAATTATAATTAAAGATGTCATTATGTAATGACAATTACTGAATTGGTTTTAATAAAATTTCCATGACCATTAAAATATATAGAGATATAAATATTAAAATAAAAAATATTCCTATAAATATAACTATTTCCAATATTCAATTAAATCTAAAATAATAATGAAAGGTGAAAATTAAATTTGTATCAACATTTCTATTTATTATTAATGGGTTAATTAATCCTGTATGTTTAACTATAAATATTAAAATAATAAATTGAACTAAAAACAGATAGTGTTGCAGTTATTTAAAGTTAATTCTTTTGTTGAGTTAAATTTAACTATGAAATAAGATGTCAATTACTTTGATATAAGTTGTTTTTTTAACTAGTTTCAAATATTTAAATTATTACTATACAGTTAATAACAGTATGTCATCTGAAGCTTAAAATAGTAAAAGAATAATGTTTAATTACTTTTAGATATTACATCATTATAGATAATTAAATTTGTCTTTTAAAACAAACATTTTATAAATATTTATAAAATTCAAAATAACAAGAAAACTTATATTTTATAATGTATTATACATTTTTATTTAGTTATGAGATAAGACATAAATTTAGTTAATAGGAATTAATTTTCTAAATTTTATTTTTAATTAATTAATTTCTTTATATTAACTTCTCATATTTTTCTTAAATAAAATTAAAATATTTATAAATATGACAAATAATTAATTGTGAAAATTTGTCCTTTACTAGTAAAATGTGTATTTAAATAGATTTATCTTAATTCATGTAAATATGACAAATATATTAATGAATATTCAAAATAAAATTGTATTCTTAAAAATTGTTTTTCAATTGATGTTTATAAAATTAAAACAGTAACTCCCCCTTTACTAAGATTTGTTCATACAATTGTGTAAATGGATTAAAATTATAATTTTTAGTTGAATGTAATGAAGGGTAAATATTGGAATAGTTATAATATAATTGTTTTGATTATTTTATATTTATATATGGAAATATTAATGTAAAAATAAAAATATTCATATCAATATTGTTAAAATAGTTATTATTGTATTTAGTGTAATTATTATTTTGTATTATAATATTATTTTAGGGAATTTATAATATAAATAAATAAATTGAAAATAAGTAACAAACAATATTAATTTATAATATGACTTAATGTGATAATAATTTATACATATATATGTGAGAAAGTTCCAAGTTAAGTGTTTTTTATGTCATCACTTTTGAAAAATAAAAAAACTAGCAGTATATAATACATTTTTCCGAGAAATTTAATATTTTATTGTAGTTTGACTGTTAGGTATCAAAGCATTCTAGTTAGTTGAATTTGTCTTTTTAGCCAAAACTTATAAAAACATATATTAAATTAAATAACAATGAAAAATATATTGTATTATAAGTTTTTATTTAATTATGAGATAAGACATTAATTACTTTAGTATAAGTTTATAGGAATTAATTTTCTAAATTATATTTTTAAATAATCATTTTATTTAAATTAACTTCTCATATTTTTCTTAAATAAAATTAAAATATTTATAAATATGATAAATAGTTATAACAATTTGTCCTTCACTAGTAAAATGTGTATACAACTGGATTTATCTCAGTTCATGTGAATATGATAAATGTATTAATGAATATTTAAAATAAAATTGTATTAATAAGCTTAAATTGTATTCTTAAAAATTGTTTATCACTCAATGTTTATAAAATTAAAACAATAACTCCTTTACTAAGATTTTCTCATACAATTGTGTATGAAAATAAAATACTATAATTTTTAGTTGAATGTAATGAGGGGTAGATATTGGAATAGTAATAATAAAATTTTTTTAATTTTTTTATATGTGGAAATATTAATGTAAAAATAAAAAATATTAATATTGTAACAATATTTAATTAAATCTTTAATTATAATATAAAAAGAAAATGAAATTGATATCAACATTTCTATCAATTCCTAATCAGTTATTTGAATCTGTTAGAAGTAAAAAAATAAACATTAAAATAATGAATTTTTAATAAATTGAATTGAAAACTAATATTGTTAATGCTGAATTATTAATTGAAAATTTCTCTCAAAATTATATTAAATTTGGGAGGTGATTTTATAGTAAATAAAAATATTAATATTGTTTAATTGGTTATTTTGATTAATTTAATGTGATGTCCATATTCTCAATGTGGAAAGACTTATTTATATTATACTCACAGTTATTAAAACAGATTTTTTGTTAATATGCTAGAATATTTTTTTTACTTCACAGATGCTTATTATTAAGCATTGGGAGCAAGGCTTCTGAATAACACATATACATATATTAGCAATACCTTCTTCTGTCTTAGCTTTAAATCAATTTCAGTGTTGGTGAACACTTCTGGTGACACTGTTATTCATATTCTGAGTTTTTTTTTGGTTTTACTTGAAACTGCATTTTTTAAGTTCTTCTGATTTTGTATACATTTTTTTTTTTTTAGTTTTAGTTTTATTATTTTACTTATGAAGTAATTTATATCTTTGCTATTGTCAAAATAGTACAAAACATGTATAGTTCATGAATAGTATATTCATTATTTGTTATTATATATGCTTACTATAAGCAAAGTGGTAATGGTTACCAGGATCAGATTTTATAGCATAATCTTTATGTGAAAAATATTATTATTTACAAGTTAGACTGGACCTGCATGTTTTTATAGGTACAAATAATTTTAATAAATTTGGTACCTACTTATTTAAAAGTTACTGAGATAAAATTATTGTTACTGACTACTGTAGAAGTACTGAACCCTCCCCTAGACACTGATATAATTTCAATAAATATTCTCCAAAAAAGAGGTATTTATTAATAAGTGTTAAATCCAAATTATGTTTCAGGATACATCCCAGAAAAATATTGAAATCCGCTACTAGTAGGCTAAATCTTTTAAACCAATTAAGACATATGACACATAATTACATAATAATGTTTTCAAATTAAAATTACAAAAATATGAGTAATTGAAATGATATAGCACTCTCTATAAGTCTGTGTTAATACATTAACAAATAATCAAGAGTTTGCTATATTAGTGGTTTAACATGATATGTTGCTTTAAATATTACTTTAGCTTTATAAACTCTAGCTAAAACTTTTTAATATTTTCAAAAAAATTAAATACATATCTTTTACTATAATTTTATTTTATATAATTGGTTCTTAATTTTATTCATTATTATTATTTCTTCTTACCCAATTTAACATTTATTTTATATCCATTATCACTCAAATTAATCAATTTTTATTGAGTTTTAATATGTTTAGGAAATCTATAGACCTGAATTGGGAATATTTTTTTAAACAACTGCTTGTATCAACTTACACTTTTACAACCTTTGATGTAACTAATCAAATACTGTATACCTGGTGTTCCCGAACTTTTTTGGGTAATATAGTTCAGCTCTAGTGCCTTGTTACATGAAACCTGCTCCTCTCTTTAGTCTAATCTGTATGCCACTTGCTTGTTTTACTACCTCATTTAATGTGGACAATACCATTTTGTTTTTTAATTATACATTAATATAATTTAATTTGTTAATAATTATGAATTATACATAAAAAAAAAAATAAGTCTATATATTCTTTATAAATATAAAGTGTATATACCTATGTCCTATATAGTAAAATGAATTAAAATAAGGATTTTCATTCTGTTATATTTCTGTCTGTGACTTAATAGTAAAATATTTGCATCTATCGATTTTAAGTTAAATTAAATGTTACTATTGTGATTAATTTGTTTTTTTTTGTAAAAAATGAGAAATAGGTAGTATTTGATGTATCTTCTTTTACTTGAAAATCTTTGGTAACTGGTATGTAATAACAAGGTATTTAACATAACACTTTTTTCTGCTGCTTATAACAATCCTTTGAATTAACTGTATTTAAATTTAAATTACCTGTGTGAGCCTCCCCCCAAAGGGGAAAATAACTTTATATGTATTGCTTATAATTGTTAATAAATGATGATAGCAATAAAGCATAAAAACAGATCCCTCACTGTATCAGTGATCTTGAAAAAAAAAAAATAAAACGTTTTTTATTACCACAAATAAGATATTCTGAGACATATTAAGATGTATATCTTAATTTGTGGTACCTAATTTTCAGTCAGTGTTTGTTTCTTTTAAAAATTGTCAGCATCTTTTTCAAATATTCTCTTTTATTTTAGGTTCTTGGTTAGGGTAGAAAACTTAAATTGTCTGATTTTTTCCAGTTCTATTTTATATCATAGGTAATTTAATAAAAATGTAATGTTAATTGAATAGGTATATTACTACTAGGTATGACTTATAACAAATAATCTTCAACATTTTTTTTAAATTTCATTTACTTTTTTGACTAAAAGAATTCAGATAACATTCTTATAATTTATTAGATGTGCAAATTGTTGGTAAATAGTTAAATAGGTAGGTACATAGGTATTTAGAATATGTATAGTTTATAATTTATAATAAAATATTACCTGTAATCTATTAACATTTGATTTATCACACAATAATTAAATCTTACATATAAATAATAGAATAGCCAATAAAATTAGAAAATTTAACAAATCTGTAACAAGTTAAGTAGGTACCTAAATAATTATTTATTATCTTATATTATAGTAGATGATATATAAGTGATAAATGATAACTTAGATATTACAATCAAAAGATACCTATATATTATATTTTAATAATAAACTATAAAAAGGGTATTTTTTCATTGATCTTAAACTATAACCTATTAAAGTCAATATATTTACATTAGAAATGTGGGATTGTTCTACATAAAGTTTAAAGCGTTGTTGGATGTAGGGAAATTGTCCCAAATGTAGGGAAGTTGACAACCCTATTTTTGGTACTCTTACTCAAGTATTTCTAAACTTTTGTGCAACTTTTATTGGTTTTATTTTGCTGCTCTAATAATTTTGTTTTATCTTCTGTTCATTTGTATTAAATTAAGTTTTGTTTTTCAACTTCTAATGATTATTGAGTAATTAAAAAACAATAATTATAAACTGCTTAACCATTTAGTTTCTATAATTTTGTATGTAAATAGTGAGTATAGTAGGTAAATCGAGAAAATATTCAGTAAATATGAATTTTATAAGAAAGTGAGCGAGTGGAAAGCCTGCCTAACACACAAAATGGTTTCTGGTCGTCACAGATTAATTATCTAATATCTATATTCTATGATTATCTATGTAGGCTGCGGCCAAAACAGTCAGATAGTCAAGCAAAAGTCTCGCTTAGGTACCTAATTTAAACCCAAACCTGATACTACTATGAGAAGGATAGTGTTATAAATGTAAATTTAAACGTCGTTAATATGAGACATGAGACCGGGCCTTTGGCCGGGAAACGGTCAATTGGTCCTCGTGAAAAAACGTCGTATGTGGATAATCGGCCCCCGTCATTTTATCCACGGACAATTGAAGAATTGGTCCCGGGGAAATTTTGTTTTCAAATTTTTTAATAGGATAACTAACAACATATCGGAATCATTCAACAACAAATTGCAACTTGAAAATTTATTTTTAAATAATTTAATGAAACTTATAAGTGAAAAAGAAAACATTTTTTATTGATTTTTTTTTGTAATACTTTTGACATTAATTTTTCAAACGATGAACTTTTAAATTATTTGTGTAGTCTAAGTTTAAATATTAAACATTAATTATTTTTTCCCGTATTATTATTAAAATTAAAATTATATTATTATTATTTTCTGACTATTATTTAAATTATATTAATATTATACGTTTATTGAATATAATAAAATAGCATAAAAGTATTTAATGTAGCAGGAAAAAATTTCCCCGAGACCAATTGTCCGTGTGTACAATTATGACGGGAACCGATTGTCGGCATACAACGTTTTTTCGTGGGTACCAATTGACCTAATTCCTTTTTGACCACCATATAAACGTTGTGTACGGTGAAGGTAAACATTTTGTAGGAATAATTTCTTAACCTTAATTTTTCAAACAATGGTTAATGGTGTCAGGACAATGATTAAATCAACTGAATGATTATTTTTCATATCTCGGATACTTATCATTTTTCTGAAATTGATATCAGTTTATCATCGCTCCTCTCCCCCCGATTGACGTACCGAGTTTTATGAAGTTTCTATACTAACCTACCACTCTACAGGCTATAGCAGCAGCTGCTTTATAGAATTCAGTGAGTTTCTAGAAACCGGTACACAATATTACAATAGGTAGCTGTCGGATGCCAGAGCTGCGGTTTATATTTGTTATGTTGGCTGAGGTGTAAAATACTAAAATCATAACCTAATATGTTTTTGTGTATCTTTTACTTTTTACTTTTTTTGTGGTGCTGCTCGACGCATGTCGTCGTTCCTACAAGTGTCAAGTAAGTGTACGCAATTTTCATTTGTGTTTCTATGTAGGTCTATTTAATAGTCATTAATTATTGTTTATCGTTGTCCAATTAATCAAATTGGTTTCACACACCCGTATAAATTATCTAGTTTGTTTTTGGTTTTAAACGTTACCTATAAATCTTATCATTGCTACGGAATCCGTACCCGGAACCCGCTTCACGCACGTGATATTTTGTATGCCAACGATAAATATTTTATTTTTCATGCCGATTTTTACCAAAGTTTATAGAATGTTCTATGAATCTTCGATACCTATTGTCGACCCGAGTTTAGAATAATCAATAATTATTATTTTCTTATGCGTGACTATGTTGACGATACAATAGTTTACATTATATTTAAATTAATAATTATTCTGATACGTTCCTTTTTAAATTTCCAATTGAATTTTCGTTTTATTTAAATATTTTTTATTGTTATTGTATACCATAGTTGTCAATTGAAATATTCATCTATCATATAACCATGTGACAATATCCTCATCAATGGCTTCAAATTTAAGACAGTTCATGTCGATCAAATATGTAACGGGCCCAACGCAAGAGGATAATGAAGAGAGAAGTATAAAATAAATTATAACACATTTCTGAGCTCTTAGTCAGTATTCACTTGATGCTTCAAACATAAGATAAAATACACTCAATAACTTCTATGCCCAATTATTAATTCATTAAAATATTCTAAGTCTAATTATTAAATCTTTACAAAAATATAATTCATAAAACAATGACACGAAGGTATTCGCAAAAGATCATAATGGACTCGTCTGCTTTATCGTTATTCGGGTGGTGTTACAGGCGCAACTTCAGAGACTTACCGGGGGGGTGGGGATCATTATTTTTAGCTATAAATAAGTTGCAGAGGCACCTTAGTCGCTTAGAATATACTTTGAGACAAATAAAAATGTACTTAATTTCTCCTTTGTACCTATTCATTATGTCTCTGAACCCCCCCCCCCCCTCGATAGATACACTACAGTAGTTCTACAGTACTGAAAAAAGTTGTTAAAACTTACAAAATGATAATTTGGTGAATTTTGGTATAAATCTGATTAGTCAGTTATAGTTGTTGTATGACGCGGTTAAATACATTGATCACTAATAATATTTTAATTATTTTTAGAATACTCGGGCCCAGGTTTTACATCTTAATGTCATCATGTTGTATACCACGATAATTTAATACATGTATAATGTATACATTTATAATATGCTTTATCTTTGCCTAATATACACCCAATAATACTAAATATAGATAAACCATCTGTCAACTAATGATGGGTTTTTTGCCAAATTAATACACGGCCTGAGGAAGATCATATTCGTATTATTATAATTCATATACCTCATAATAATAATAATAATATGATAATATAGTGTTTAAGACAAAATAAAATTGTTAAATATCTAATTAAATAATCACAATTTTTAAATTTTTGGAAAGCCTTGGGGGGCGGTGGCCCCAGTGGCCCCTCCCCTGGAGCCACGCTTATTGCGTCAGGTATACTGGCATCCTGCCCCTGCAATGTATTGTCCATAGCCGCACTATGCGGTGATCTGTCACATCAGGCGTATGTCCGAATATCACTCGTGAGTTGATGACTTTTGTCTACTACGTCAATAACAAAGCACATAATGTATAAATTTTATTTTCTTATGCTGGCTTATACAAGCATAACTTGTTGTTGAAATTGCAGTAAGGGTAAGATTGTATGTTACATGTATCTAGGCCCATACGTGTACGTAACATTTACAATTTTCCTTTATAGTATTTTAGGTATGGGTCCACATGTGTTCTACGAGAGTATTATATTACATGTAAAACAATGTTTTTGAATTAAATAACCAGCCTATAAAATAATATACATGATTAATTTAAAGTTTTTGTCCCAGGTATATGAAGAAAAAACAGATCATTCAGAAGACATTGAATTAGCTGTTTCATCTGAAGTCAATAAGATGAAAGAAATATACCAATCAAGCTTTAGCGTGCGTATAGATAATATCATTTATAATATTGCTACTTAAGTGTTGTGTTTAATGTAATCTTTAGAGCCCTTGAAAATGTTATCTACTTTAATTGTCATATTATTAGGTAGGTATATTTTTCATAAAATAATTTGTATGCATTCAAAGTGAGTATGTTTTATCATACTCAAAAACAATCATATACTGTTATCTAAATATTTATACCTAGGTATATAATAGTTGTTGATGAAAAAGTATATAAATTCACTCAATATGACCATATATTTTTAGAAAATTACATAGGTGATATATAATATTAAAACTATATATATTTTTTTTGAAAATATAATTGGTGATATAGTCGTAAATATATTTTTAGTTGTATACTAAATTATTAATTGCATGCGATATGAACAGTCATTGTTCCCATACACGCTGTTATCAATTAAAAATAAACACCAGTTGCCTGTTTATTTAAACATATTAATTTATTAGTATTTTAAAAATTTATTATTTATTTACGAAAAAAAGTTTTATTTTATCTATTTAAATAATATATGAATTACTTAACAATTAATATTTTATCATATAATGTTTACATTACAGTATTTTCCATACACATTTCTTTTTGATCTGTTGGTAGTAGGGATCAGTTTTTCTAGTTCTTTTTATCATTAATTAAGCTGTGGTTTTATAACCACTTTCACATACAATTCAGAGTTCTATTCATTGAGTGTTAGCGCTTTTATATTTATGAACATGAGGTTGGGAATATTTAATATCAATTCTTAAATGTGTACAAATAAAATTTATAAAGCTTTATCTTCATATTAATTCATATTCTACCATTGAGAACAGAAATGTACTTATTAAATTTGTATTCATATGGATATTATCAACATTTTCACTGTCTATATAATTTGTATCTAATTGAAAACCGGAAAAAAATTTAATATAATTTCCACATACTTGATGTTAATTTATTTTAGTTTATAAAGTTTTGTACTTGATTTTAATATCCTTTGTAAAATGTATGGTACTTTCTTGTTATTTTGACTTCATGTGGTTTTCTGGTTATATCAAAATTTCCAAACAGTACCTGTAATGGGGTATTTTTTTTATTGATAATTAAAAGCTAGTGAAGCTATTTTGGCCTATTACTTATTTTATTTCATTTTGCTTACAAATCTTTTTTTGAATTTTTATTAAAAGCTTGGAGCTTGAACTATAAGTGAGCCAGGTATACACATAACCCATCCGCCAAAAGTATTGTTTATCCAGAGTTGCAAGTACATATAGGATTTGAATAGATTTTAAACAAATATTTGGAATAAAAACAACCTTGGATATAGGGTACCAAAATAGCCACTTGCAATTGTGGAAATAATTGAAGTGTCAGTCTACCATATAAGGTAATTGAAATAACCAAAAAGTACCAAATGTATACTATCTTCATCATTGTCTTAAAAAAATAAGGCTTTGAGGTAATGAGTTTTATTAAGTTATTAATAGTTGTAATTAAAGGAGTCAAATATACATTAAAGGTAACATCCCAATTCAATAATTATTGGAAAATTAAAGATTGTTCTAAAGAAATATAAACAGTTTTCAAATGTTTGATATTTAAAATAAATTTTAAGCTTTTGTAGGTGTAAAGTAATAGTAAAGTAGGTGTAATTTCTATTTGAAATAACCAATTTATTGATAAGAAAATTTTATTTTAATTTTTCATTAATTATCAGATCTGTATAATTTATGTGATTTACTCTCACAATAGATTGATGAGTACAAGTTGAAATTGTATTTTTTCAAAAGAATGTAGACAGATAGAAAATATAAATAAATTGATTTTAAATTTATCCATAAAATAGATTTCAAATAAAATATAGCTGGGCTTTTTAAGGTTTAGATAATTATTATTGTATCAATTTAGAACTTTTTACGATAAAAAATTAATTTCATTAAATAGAAAATAAATATTCTTATTATTAAAAATTATCAGCCGTACTATTAATATATTATTACAATTTACAACGATTCCTGATTACTTGTCATATTGATATAATAAAGTACATTAACGTAAATATTAAACAAGACTTATGATAGAATCCTGTTATACATCAATTGATAGTAATATTTATATTGTCATATCCATCATTAACTTTGACTATCTGAACTACCAATTATGTAAGACTTAATTATTAAAAATTAAAATTAAAATCCCTCTTATCTCATTATAGTCTAATTTTCTAATTAGGAGACCAATATTTACTACATCAAATCCATTTTTATGTACAAAAAAAAACCGACATTATACATTTATTATTTAAAACTAAATTGTCTACAAGAAAAACAAAATTATTTTTTTAAAACAATTAACACCCTGATTAAGAAATTTGTCTATAATTTATCAATAAGTTTATATTTATTAAGTATTATATTTACCATTTCCAACACAATTTATTTTTCAGTTGGTACATACCCATTTAGATCTGTGNTAGCAATCAATAACAAAAAAAAATTGAAATAAGTCATTAGTTTCTTCATTAGAAATTTCAACTTCTTCTGTTCAAAATAATAATATGTTACAAACATTTAATTGTAATTTAATTTAGCTAAAACTATTAGCAATACATTAATTTTAGGATTAATAATTAATAAATAATACTAATTATCTTACAGGTGACAATATATATTCAACAAGATTTTTGGAACATAGAATATTTGAACATTTTTGATGTTATAGCTGGATATCATACAAACAAATTACAAAGTGTATTAAGTAATAATATATTTATTCAATTTAATACTTATAATACCAATTCAGATGCATGGTTGACAAAGTTGCACATGACTAACTTCATAACTCTCATTATGCATACAATTAATAGTAGTATAAATAGTATTAAATCATTAAAAATGATATGCTTGGATAACTTATATGGTAAGTTATATTTTAGATTCTGAGTGGAACAAAGATGCTTATGACTTTACAAAGTTTTTTTTTTTTCTTGTATGTGCGCAACTTGTCTACCAGAAGAAGTTAGGATTTCTACCTGTAGCACCTTTTCTAAAAGGTGTAGAGAGGTCGTTTTTTTGATTATTTCAAAAGTTTTCTCATCAAATGCGAAAATCCTGAAAAGAAACTCGGAAAATTTACAAAATATAACAAATCTAATATTACAATGTTTTTTCTATGCATAACTTTTCTGCCAGCATTTCCAATCCAACTTTTAATGATAGCAATGTTTCTAAAAGGAAATTTTACTAGGGAGATACTCTTAGAGTGGGCATTTTTTGATTTTCCCAAGTTTTTCCAGAAAATGTGAAAAGCCAGGATAAAACATGGACAAATTGGTATAACATTTAACAAATTTTATTTAACAAAATGTATAAAGCTTATTTAATTATTTTACTACAAAATGACATATTTATTGTTGACAAAGCATCACTATCAACTAAACTCTGCTCAGAATCGGTTTTTTGTAATCAATGGTTATCATTGCTTACAGATATACATTAAATTCCTGCCTATATCCTTTCTTCCCAACATCCAACCTTCACCAGTGGCTGCACCCATTCCCATTATCTTACCTTTTTTTTAAATTTTGTTATATTATTTTGGATAATATACAATATTTAAAATTCATGGACAACAGCTTTCAATTTTTAAGGAACAATTAACACCATTGTTTAAATTCTAAACAACAATGGTGTTTTTCATTCCTAAAAAATTATGTAAAGCATGATCATCTAAGAAGATATTTTACATTTTTAAGTATTATTAATAGTAAATTTGTCTCAATTTTTAAAAGTAACATTAATTTTATTAATATTGTTTTTAATTTTGATTTTTGTTCACCACATTTTATATATTTTTAATCTCAAAAACAAATATTAAACTATTATGGAATCATGTTAATTCTCTTAAAAAAAAATCAAATATTATTGTACACGGGTTGTATTAATTATAATAATTTTTCAATTTTTTAAACTTTTAGATTATTTCTTCAGTGTTTGTTTTAGAAATTTAGTGAACATTAATGAGGTACTACTACTTTCTTATTTTTAATTAAATAATAGTATTATTTAAATTTTTAAGCTATTGATCTTTGAAATTCAGGATTATTTATTTACATTCTTTTAATCCCTTGCAGTAACTGAACTTAATGGTATAGGATTGGTGTTTTAAAATTCCATAGGTACTGTCTTTAATTTGTCTTCCATATGTATTAATAAAGTAATAAAAATATGGATTCAGTCGCTGTTTAAGAAACTCCATAGTAAACTAACCTAATAAACAACCATATTGTTTATTTTTTTTTATGCCGCTTAATATTTTTAAACAAAATGTATATTTAGATTTTAATTTAATTATTTTTATTTTTATGTTATTATTATGACTATAATTATTGTTATTTATTACCTATTTAACATTTTTATTTTGTTACTATACATTATTTTATTATTTATTTGTACTTTACTGTACTATTATTGTAAGTTAAAATTGCATTACTTATACACTAATCTTGTCTTTATCATTATTGTATTATTTTATTAAAAGATTTTTCAACCTGTTAATTATAAATAAATAAATAATTAAATATTGTATAAAATTACTAAATAGTAAGTTACATTTTTAAATTTTGTTGTACAATTTTAGAATGATATGAAGAATTAAAATACAGCTCAAGATAAATCAAGAACAGCTTTCAACTTTGAAGGAACAATTAACACCATTGTTTAAATTATAAACAACAATGGTGTTTTTAATTCCTACAAAATTATAAGCATGATCATCAAAGGAAAAGATTTAATTTTTAAGTATTATTTTAAGTTAATTTGTTTAAATTATTTGAAGTAAAATCCAATTTATTAATAATAGTTTTTATCTTCTAAATTATATTTGAAGGTGTATTATATTTACTTGGTGTGAAATATTTAAAAATTATCCATTAAATTTATTATTTTTATCAAAAAAAAAAAAACCATTTTAATTATAATTCATGATAACCTATATAGCTACAATATGTAATTTTTTATCTTGATATTCTTTAAAAATAAGGTTTGAAATAATTCTGAGATGGATATTGTTGCTTAGAACATGTATGCAAAACTTGTATCCAATCAATCACACTGATAATTTTATTATTCGAAAATCTTTGCTTACACAATATACAAATATGTTTTAGAAAATAGAAGAAAACAATTCATTGAAGTTGAGTTTTGGTATTGGCATCTAACTGAGACTGCGAATTTTTCTATTTGTGTGAACCATATCGAATATCGGTTAAAAACAACTATCATTGAGAGTGACCGACTCGAAAAACAGTTATTAGTTAATTTAATTGCCATGGAGTATCAAAAATAAATTACTAATTAAAAAAAAAATTAAATCAGGAACTGAGAACAAGGGGAATTACTGTTTAGCATAATTTTTTTATCGAAAATATGGATTTTAATTATCAAACAAAGTACATACAACTTTTCGAAAATTATAAATTGTATTTTTTCAGTTTGTTCTCTGACTGTTCATAAAGTATTTTCTGTATCCCTTGTTGAGCTACTTCATGAATACAAATAATAAAATGATCAACCTTTCCATAAAGTGGTAATCACTTTGGTTTTCACTTGTCATAGCCACATCCACCATGCTCGAATATTCCGTCAATGATTTTTAGTTGTTGAATTCTGTATAGAATAAAAATAATAGTCTACTGTTATTATTATACAACAAAAATATTTTTCATGAATAATGTGGTGATTGTAGTGTAATGCTTTTTTGTGGAGGCCTATAACACTGATAAACGGATTTGCATAGATACATATAACTACTTGTGGGATCAGTTGCCTCCACAACCCTTTAAAGCATTAGATTATTGATAGGCAAATGCAGAAAGGGATTTTTGGGAGTCTTATCCTTCAAGGACTCTACTTATTAATATTGTATTAATTTATAATCAACATATTAAGTGATAATATTTAATTAAAACAAATACATTTGAGAAGATAGGATGCATACAGTTATTTAACTCATATCTGTACGAAACAATAAATCGTGTAGTATTCTGAGAAAACTGCAGATATCAACCATTTTTTAAACCAAATTACACACACAAAAAAAAAAAAAACGGCTTCAGCACTAGTTTTATAATTTATTATTGACTTATAAATACTTAAATTTCAAACTATTTTCATCTCGAAGAAACAAACTAAATGAGTTGACATTATGATATCAAATAATTAGTATTTATAGTTGATAATAGAAATAATAAACGTAATCAGATAAAAATGTATATAGATGAAGATAAGCAATGGGTATTGTGCATGTATAAGTGGAATCTTATCTCCTTCAAAATGGGTATAAATAATGATATTTGAAGTTGATATGGCAAAATGGGTAGAAATAATAGTATCCACAATACCCATTGCTTATCTCCATCTATATACATTTTTTATCTGATTACGTTTATTATTTCTATTATCAACTATAAATACTAATTATTTGATATCATAAGGTCAACTCATTTAGTTTGTTTCTTTGAGATGAAAATAGTTTGAAATTTAAGTAATTGTAAGTCAATAATAAATAAAAAAAATAAAGAGTACAATTTCACGTACTTGACAATATTGTTAAGGACATAGGACAATGCATCAGAAATTGTATTCTGTACGTTCGAATCCAATAGATGTGTTTAAATCCAGGTAGGGTCATTTGTGCTTCTCATCAAAGGTATACGATAGTTGGGAATTATAGTTACTTAGTTACCATTTTGTTTTGTAAAAATATACAAAATATATCAAAAGCTTATACCTGTCATAAACTATTTTACAATTTCTAAAACTAGAGCTGAAGAAGTTTTTTTTTTTTGGATTTTGTTTTTGTGTGTTATTTAGTTTAAAAAATGGTTGATATCTTCAGTTTTCTCAGAACACTACACGGTTTATTGTTTCGTACAGATATGAACTAAATAACTGTATGCGTCCTATCTTCTCAAATTTATTTGTTTTAATTAAATATTATCACTTAATATGTTGATTAGAAATTAATACAATATTAATAAGTCAAGTCTTTGAGGGATAGGACTCCCAAAATCCTTTTCTGCGTTTGTAAAATCTAAAGTATCTTTGTTCCACTCAGAATCTAAAATATAACTTACCATATAAGTTATCCAAGCATATCATTTTTAATGATTTAATACTATTTATACTACTATTAATTGTATGCATAATGAGAGTTATGAAGTTAGTCATGTGCAACTTTGTCAACCATGCATCTGAATTGGTATTATAAGTATTAAATTGAATAAATATATTATTACTTAATACACTTTGTAATTTGTTTGTATGATATCCAGCTATAACATCAAAAATGTTCAAATATTCTATGTTCCAAAAATCTTGTTGAATATATATTGTCACCTGTAAGATAATTAGTATTATTTATTAATTATTAATCCTAAAATTAATGTATTGCTAATAGTTTTAGCTAAATTAAATTACAATTAAATGTTTGTAACANATGTTCAAATATTCTATGTTCCAAAAATCTTGTTAAATATATATTGTCACCTGTAAGATAATTAGTATTATTTATTAATTATTAATCTTAAAATTAATGTATTGCTAATAGTTTTAGCTAAATTAAATTACAATTAAATGTTTGTAACATATTATTATTTTGGACAGCAGAAGTTGAAATTTCTAATGAAGAAACTAATGACTTATTTCAATTTTTTTTTTGTTATTGATTGTTATTCTAATTTAACTACTAAAATGTCTAATTATTTATGTGCAATGACAATTTTATTGATGTGATTGTTTGTTTTTACTTTTGTTGTGAATGACTTAATGAAGTATCTTATAAGAAATTAATTAAAAACAGATCTAAATGGGTATGTACCAACTGAAAAATAAATTGTGTTGGAAATGGTAAATATAATACTTAATAAATATAAACTTATTGATAAATTATAGACAAATTTCTTAATCAGGGTGTTAATTGTTTTAAAAAAATAATTTTGTTTTTCTTGTAGACAATTTAGTTTTAAATAATAAATGTATAATGTCGGTTTTTTTTTGTACATAAAAATGGATTTGATGTAGTAAATATTGATCTCCTAATTAGAAAATTAGACTATAATGAGATAAGAGGGATTTTAATTTTTTTTTTTAATAATTAAGTCTTACATAATTGGTAGTTCAGATAGTCAAAGTTAATGATGGATATGACAATATAAATATTACTATCAATTGATGTATAACAGGATTCTGTCATAAGTCTTGTTTAATATTTACGTTAATGTACTTTATTATATCAATATGACAAGTAATCAGGAATCGTTGTAAATTGTAATAATATATTAACGAATGCCGAGCTAATTGAATAGCCATAGGGCCATTCGGACATGTAAAAAGAACATTTTTCGGAAGCCGGGAAGTTTGTAAATAAATGAAAAATCCAACATTTCCGACTATATCGTAATAACTATACAGCGTACGGTGCGTGTTTTGAATTTCTGGGATATAACATGGCCGTATCTAGATATGGATCGCAGACATTCGCCCTCCCCTCTAATTTTTTCACTTATGTCTAATTTTGTCATACGGTTTTGATATTAAAGCTGCGCTCAATGTACACATGATGGCGTTGTAAAATTGTATAAAGAATGTCCAAACTGCAATCGATTCGGATTTGGGGTATAATTTTCGATTTCAACCGTCCCAATATCGGATGGAGCACCTACTGTATAATATTATAAAGGGTTGGTAAATTACGATTTCTGAATTTCATCATATATTAATTCACACAGAGTTTCGAATAATAGAGGAGATTATTATCTATAAAGAAGATATTGTAATATTTTCGAGTAAAAATTATTTTTTTTGCACTATACGGCCTACTTGAAGTGTACACAATTTTAAAGAAATATGTGTTTTTTTTTTTATTAAAAACAAATAGCCCTTTATGTAAACGTCTCGCTTCGTACTGCAGATTGTACGAAAAACAGTTTCAAAGGAAAATTGTGTATAAGACAACTATGTATGCAAGTTTGTTGTTTTTATTTTTTTTTTTTTTAATGTCCATATAGCCACGCCACGCCACTGCAGGCATTACGTTACAAAACTGCACACGGGCGAAACTAGTAAAATAATGATGTTCAATAATATGTACAAAATGTGTCGAGCCGGCATAATGTTTTTAATATTCCCGGTCCCCTATATGACGTGACAATCGTGACCCTCTCGTAATAATATAAATCCGGCGGTGCGCGTACGCCGCCGGGATAAGGGCAAATTTATAATACCGCGGCTTTGCCGACAAAAAACACGAAAACCTCGTCGAGCGATAATAAATAATCGTAAAAAACAGAAAAAAAAACAAAAATACTATATTTATAAAACGGAATACAATATTATTGTACGTTATCCAACCTGACGTCGGTGTTCGGAGATGCGCGTGAGATTTTTCTCCTTCGCAATGTAAAGAGAAAAAAAAATAAACCGACTCGGGTTAAATAGGCCCCTCGCGGGTTTTTTACAATACGACGATAATTGTCAATTAGGAAAACGAAAACAACCCGAAACTTCGGGCACGTACCCGCGCCAGATGGCTATCTGGTGAAGCGGCGGGTATTTCTCACGGCGCATTTATCTTTCGACCGCCGTCGTCAGTGGCGGATTCGATAACGAAATCGCGCCCCCCCCCCACGCCTGACTCCTGCGCCTGGCTCACGTATAATTTATTACACGGGCAGTTTTTGGAGATAAATTTAATAACGATAAATAATAATATTATATAAAATAAAAAAAATTTAAAAAAACCTAAAAAACAACTCCGATCGTAACGTACATGTACAAGGCGTACTGTCGTCGGGGCTGCTCGGATTTATTATAATAGCGTTTGCTAATATTATTTTATAAACGTGGTTAAACGTATTTCCGTATTTTAGATCCTGAGTGGAAAACGAGGAATGTATTGATTTTTACAATGGTTACTAGTAAACAATTACTATTAATTTTGCTCCGATTTACGATGGCACTTTTTCTGAAAGGAAATCGGACTGGGGAGGCACTTCAAGGAGGTCATTTTTGATTTTTCCAGAAGTTTTCCCAATAAATGGGAAAAACCGAGGGAAAAGGTAGGGGAGAACGGGTACAATTATATTAAAGGAAATCAACCGAGTTGACTCGGCTCAGAATCGTTTTCTCGTTAGCGACGGCTTATCGTTGCGTACGCCTACATTCCCGATTTCCCATGCCTACAACAGTGGCTGCTGCGCCCGTCCCCATTATCCTACGACAGTTTTGTTTAATACGTGAATCATACGCGAAACGCGTACTCGGGATTCCGGAAGGTTTTTTTTTCCGTTTGTGATTTCGGTACGCCGTGGGAACGTTTCGTTGCGACGTCCGACGGCACGACGCGACGCCCGGGACACGCGCGGGACACGTACGCGGTCCGCACGAACACCGTACCCTTCTAATTGGACGCAAAACGTTCGTCCGTCTCCCGTCGCGTCGCGATCGATTAAAGTCTCGCGCGCGGTCCGCGGTGCCCGCATGACCGGCAATAATAAAAACAATAAAATCGTGTACGTCGCGTATACCGCGGCCATCGGCGCGCGGGAATAAACGCGGCGCGGCCGCCGACGCGGACAAGACGAAACAACCGAGGGAAACCGTCCAATTACGCGGCGGCGGAGTCCGCGATCCGTCACGAGAGATAAAATATCCCCGGACGCCGCGCGTCGTTGTCGCGCGGTACGTCGCCGTTGTGTAGGCGCACAATAACCGCGTAAATAGCCGCCGGTATTGTGTGTGTGCGCCGGTTGGCCGTCTCATCCTCGGGCTGCCGGTTGTTCACCAAGTACCCGCCCGGCTACAGCGGATAGACTCGGACGGGGGGTAGGGGAGGTGAGGGGAGGGTATCGCGCGCGATCAGCCAAATAGCACCGTCCTCCGTCACAAATCGCGAACAACACCACCGTGACGCGGCCCTACACTCTGAATTGCCGTCGGTTATTTACCAATCGAAGGGTTCGGCGCGACGACAGTTATCAATAGACAAGTTCGCGTTTCGAAATTGTTCGGGAGCAAGGGAAATAAAACCACCCGTCTGCGGGGTTTGTATTTTTTTCACTCGCCGTTGACAGCCACTACGTATACTGTATTAGTATGCAGTCGCTTTGGACCCGCCGTGTTGTCGAGCCCTTCGATTGCAATTTTTATTTTTTTAGAGTCTGAGTGGAGCGAGGACCGTATTGGTTTTACAACGATGTTTATTTTATTTTATCTTTTATGTGTTCGCTTTTTCTACCAGTAAGCATACTCCGATGATCGAGTATGGCACCTTTTCTGAAAGGTCCTCTGGGTGGTGCTTTAGAGAGGTCATTTTTTGAAATTCTCATTAACATTCGAGATAATGAGGAAAACCTCTGTTTTCAGGTTAAAAAAGATGGAAAGATTAAAAATGAGGTTGTCATTGGCAACCGTTTTTGTTTAATTTCTGTTATTATTAAGTTTCTATTGTTTTAATCTTTTCTAAACAATCATTGTTGTCAAGGAAACGCACATTGTTATAATCATTTTACCATAATATGATAAATACCATATAGAGTGTATTGTTGACAAAGCATCACTATCAACTGAACAGCGCTCAGAATCGTTTTTTCGTTAGCAATGGTTTATCGTTGCCTACAGGTATACATTAAATTACCTACAACAGTGGCTACATCCATCTCCGTTATCCTAGGACGTATAATTTTTTTTTTTGCGATGTCATAATCTTGTAATTAAAAATGTCGATTATTAGTGGTATTTTCGTCCTTGTGGCTAAGGTAACCAAGAAATCGACAAAGAAAATTGTATCCGATTTACTTCGAAAGCCGCGTGGAAAAATCAAAGAATTGCCTTCTAAACGTATCGACTAGATGATCAAAAAGTTCCTACAAAGTTTTTGATTGGAGCAGAATTTTCGTAGAAAAGTTAGGTTGCAAAAACAACGTCATTTCTCGCTTCACTCAGAATCTAATATATATCGTAGAACGTATCTACTGTTATTACAGCCACCGTTTTTAAGTATTAAAAGGGTGAACGAGAGAGAGAGAGAGAGAGTGAGAGAGAGAGAGAGAGTAAGAGAGAGAGAGAGAGAAAAACGTTTGTTTTTTTTTTTTCATTAAACTGCAGCGACGACGACGACGACGATGGTCCTCGTAAATGAATAACGATTGCCGTTGCCGCCTCACAGAATCTTTCGATTTACCCCTTATTATAAATCCGTTTCATCAATCAATCGGCCGCCGCCACTGCCCGCTGCACGTGTCGCGGCCGATACATTACACAGCGGTGGAGCTGACGGGTCGGCGGCGACGGCCTCTGGTTTTCGGACGACCGACGGTGCCGGCGTCAAGAACCGACCGGTTCGTAATGTTCCCGCGCCATAAAATAACACTTATTCGGTATCGGAGACCGGAGTGTTGGTAATAAAAAACAACTTACGATTTATTAAAATAATACATTAGATTCGGATCGAAACGAGGAATGCGTATTGATGGTTTCATTGTGATTGGTTTTTTTTTTTTTTTTTTTTTTTTTAGAGTGTAAACAACTTTTTTTTTTACTAGAAATCGTATTCCAATCAAAAACTTGATACGAACTTTGTCGCAGTATTTTTGATCTAGTTGTAAATTGTGTAATAATATATACGGTGGCACAGGTAGGTAGTAAATGCAACGTTTCATTAATGATGTGATCGCTAGAAATATGTGAAAAGGGTCGACAATCTTTTGGGATTTTTTAATATATATTGATTAAGGTTTGAAATATAAGCTCCACTCCATTCAGCGGGCCAAAACTATTTATTCCTCCAAAAATAATTGACTTTATTAAAAAGTAAAATTATGGATTTCGAACTTTGCATATTATAATAGATACAAATTATTTTACTACTGTTTCTTATCATTAAAAATACAGAAAGTGGTATTGCGCGAGTATATTATATCAAACACTAGTTAATTTTTTTCAGATGAGTAAATAAATTACAAATTAGAAAACTCTCCTCGAATTTTCATACGTGGGCAAACAATCAATATGTTTCCAAAAACTCGCCGTTATCGATTTTATGTTTGAAAATACAAACTAATCGTAATGAAACACACGAAGTGTGTATTGTACATTATACACTGAAGTCATCAATCGTTATCGACGTTGCAATCGTAAAATTTATATCAACCAATCAATTACCATAATTTGGTTGTCTATTAAATTACCTAAGTAGGTACGCACTTTTTACCGGAATTTACTAAAAATTTTAAGTCATATATTTTCATGTTTAGTTAATTTTCCGGTATTCAATCAAAAATTACGCGGTAACACGGTCGGGCGCACGAAAACGACTCGCTCACCCGGTCCCCGTAATGATTTTTCGGGGCGAACGTTTTTTAATTTTTTCGTGGGTCACGTGTAGGTGCCCGCCCCCGCCCGTTTGTTCGTATTGGCGACCGAAATGTTCGGAGGCGCGTTCGCACACTGCGATATTATGCGATGCGGGTGGGTACCTATAATACCACAAAACCGTCGTCGTCGAAACGGCGTAATTTATGGACACCTATTTGCCTCCAGTCGTCCGTGTCAAGTACGCGCGCGTATATCGATTTGCATCGGAGTCTCGGGGAGAGGAAAATAATTAACGACCAAAAGCGGCGGTTTTTTCCCCTTTAACAAAATATTTCCTAACCGTTGAAACATTAATAACCATCGTTAGGGACCTGGGTACCAACGTTATACGAGTATAATGTCGAACCGACCGCGTGTGCGACTCGCCGGCCCCGTGGACACCATGCTGATATTATTGGTGGTTTCGAAAGACCGGCCGTAGTTATTTAAGTACTAAATTGTTATACTTGGATTATTTTTCGATTTCACCGCCGTATTTTAAGTAATTGTTTTATACGAATTTTTTTTGTTTTCTTAAGTCTGTAAAAATATTATTAAATAAAACTTTTTTAATAAACGCTCCAAATCTAATTGAGGGGGGGGGGGAGCATTAGGATTGCCGGCAACAGCCTTGTTGAGGTAGGTATACCTAAGGCTATACCTACCCATTTATATTGGGATGGGCAAAATGCAAAACTTTTTTCTAAATACTTATTGAAATTATTTTAACGTTAGAGTGAATTAAACTACTATCAGATATCAAAAAAAAACGACCATACTTTGAACGTAAGTGAACCCACTATTGTAGGTGGGAAGTTATGAAGGTGGGATACAGACGGGAATTTAATGTATTTCTGTAAACAATGTTAAACCATTGCCAACGACAAAACGATTCTGTGGGGAGTTCAGTTAATAGTGATGTCAACATTCAACAATATACCTATGTCATAGACATTATTGTAAATTATTAAATACATATTACCTATATATTTTCTTTAATATTGTATCGATTTTCTCGTTTTTAATATTTGCTGGGAAAACTCTTGGGAAAACCGACAAATTATTTACTCAAAGTACCTTACTAGTCCGATTTTCTTTCAGAAAAGGTGTTATACTCATAGATATTAAATAATGGATTGGCTATGGATACACCCATGCATACAAAATAGAGGGAAAAGAGAAAAAGCTTTTCACCAATGCCTCTCACTCTAGAAGGGGAATGGTCACAAGATATATTCTGTGATTATTATCATTGCAAGACGTAGATATTGGAGACTATAAATCTTATAATAATAAAAATTATTACTATTTATTACTTTAATAGTTCAATCACGACTTGTTTAGCCATAAGTTTAATATTATATTATTAATTAATTAAATTCATTATACTCTATTATCATTTATCAATTGTTTTGACAAATAAATTAATAATCACCCAATACTGTTATCTATTTGTGATAAGACTTTTTAATTTATATTTTCATGTTCGTTCCCGCATGATAAACATGGATGGCCTATATCCATTTTTTAATATCTATGGCTACGATTATAGATATACAAGTTAGATATTGCCGGCATGCCACTCGGTTAGATTAAGTAACGGTTCAGTAGTTCATATTTACACCACACGCGTAAAGCGATAGTAGTAATTAGGGTCATATTTTATATGATGGAATTTATATATTTAATATAAGCAATAAAAAAGCCAGTCCAATTCGAGTGTTTTGTTCCTTGTTCTTAGGTAGATCACTATTCTAATTGACAAGTTTGGAAGGTAGGATACATAGAGGTATTTAATTTATATCTGTAAGCAATGATAAACCATTGCTCACGAGAAACGATTCGGAGTGTAGTTCAACGATATATATTTTAAAAAGCCGTAATATTTACAAGTTTTGATCACTAAGTTTGATTTATAATGAACCTCGTGTTAAATTTTTAAGCATTTTTGTTCAGTCTAACAATTTTATACAAAGAGTATCTACCAAATAAACAATTTGTTTTTATTTTATTTTTATAAAAGAAATTGGTCACAATATATTCACTGTTACTGTGCATCCATTTTACCAGGAACGAAAATGATTCAAATTAATATTTATCAGGTTGTTAGTTTCAATTTTTTTTTTTAACCAATACTACAATACATCCACCAGCCAATCAAAAAACATTACAATAGCAAATTAAAAGTAAAGTAATAATTATAATAAGCATATTCAATTCAATAAATAATAACAATTAAATATAATAAGTAAGAATATTAGAAAACATTTAATAATCATATATAAACAGCTAATAATAATATAGAGGCATTTATGAAGCATATTTTAAGTAGAAGCCAATTTATCAATTTTCTTTGCTTCTATTTTTATTTCGATTGTCTTGTACAGCATTCACATAATTATATAATTAATTAAAATAGTAGAAACTACTTGACTTTTGTGTTCATTACAAGGAAATGAAATGGTAAAATACAGAACATCATTTACAGTGAGATCAAATACATTTTAATGTTGACATGAGTTAGTCGTCCTTTTGATTTTAAATTAAACAATTTTGCTTCAAGAATATTTGTTTACTGATGGTTATTTTTTAATGGTCAAGCAAAGAATGCAAGATGTATTTTAATAATTTCAACTCAGTAGCATAGTAAATAATACAATTTAATGCAGAAGCTTCATTGTAATTATGGTCTTTGAATATTTCGTCATCTCGCCTAGAATCTTCATCAATAAGTACATCAACTTTAAGTTTCAAATTCGAAAGCTTTTGATGCCTTATAGTCGATCCTGGATGAAATATTTCTTAGTTCAGACAATGCTATTTTAGGGGAATCACTAACAAGAATATTGAAATTGCTCGACTTGGTAGTGCGTTGCACAGAACATATAGATAATATTTGATAAATGTGTAAATAAGTAGGCATGGTATTTATGAAGTGTTTATAGAAACCAATTATACAAATAATATTAAAATATGTATGAATTATGTTCTAAGAATTATTCAGTTTTAATTTTAAAATATAATATACCTAGACACCTGAAGTTCATGTTCTGACAATTTGATCATCAGTAAAATGACAGGTACAGACTGATGATTTTTAATAACAATCAGATCTTTTCAGATTTTTTGTGAAGTTTTTTATATGTTTGAATCAAAATAATTTTAATAATATTTTAAATGTACAAACTGATTTTAAAAATAATATCTTATAGGTATCATTACATTTTAGATAACCAAATAATTTATATTTCTTAATATATCTATGTCTAATAATAATCCATCTTAAGTAATCTCTTCTATTAAAATAAATTATTTCTATGTAAAATGACCAATTTGTATATATTTTTTTTCTGTGTATTCCTTCATTTCATTTTTATATTCAGTCATGTTTTACAATTTGACTATTATATACTTAATGATGAATTTTTAATTCAAAATCAGTTGTATAATACACTTATAAGGGGACACATTTAATCATTTATTTATATATTTATTTTTTATTGTTTAAAAATTATATTTCCCTAGTGTTTTTAAATAATTGGTTTACAGTGAAACTGCAGATAAATCTATGTATGAGAAACATAACATTAGGTATTTATTTTACACAGTTTACTTTTATCTATTTAATTGTTAAGAATGATCTTAATTCCAGTTAAACCTTAAAATTTATTTTATTTTTTAATTTTTTCACACAATTTAAGAAATACTAAAAATATGAAAACTAAATTCTGTAAAAATTTAAACAGGTTAGGTTAAAATACTAGCTGATAATAGAAAATCCTCATCTCAAGATCCATAATTAAATTTTACACAGCATATAAATAAAAAATACATAAACCAATGTAAAATGTGTATGCTGTACCTAATATATAAATGTATATATATATTTTTTTTAAATGGGCATATTATCTCTAAAGACTTCTTAATATTTCGACAATAAATTAATATATTTTAATTTTGAAATTTAATTGGTATTAAATATTTAAACTATGTATTCTTTCCATTGAATATCTTAATAAACTATTACAACAAAATTTATTTTAAAAACACTATTGTTATAAAATACTAAATAATATAGTATATATTATGTAAAAAAAAAAAAATCCAAGCTAAATATAAAATTATAGATTTTTATGAACTCAATACAGTTATACAAATTATTATTAAATAATAACAATAATAATAATAATAATAATAATAATAATAATAATAATATTAGTATTATTAATTATAATTAAATTATTTAAAAAAAAAATTCAACTTATAAATATAATCATAGATTTTTATGAACTCAATACACTTGTATAAATTATTCTAAGTCATTATTAATAGACTACATATTATATATAATATAAAATTAATGCTTAAATTGTATAGTAAAACTAAAATGTTTAACATTGTTTGAATAAATAAATATTATAAACCAGGATTAGTTCTACATAGACAGATAAAAATAAGATGACATATTCAATAAATATAATGTAAAATAATATCTAACTATAAATAAGATTACAACTAAAGTAGTAAGGTATAATATATTATAACAGCTAAAATATGGAAGGGTTCTTATTGCCACTAATGATTAAACTGATTAGTGCACTTGTATACTAAATCAGTGAGTGGAAAACAATAAAAAATGGAGTGAATTATTTGATGATTAGCCAAACAGTAGCAGATGAAAATTTTAAAATTTAAAATAAATGTTTTTAATACAAAATTAAATATGAATTTATGTTTTGTCGCTGGAGAATGCTTAAAACTCAAAGACTCTAACATAAAATTGATTAAAAATAATTAGGTACATCATTTTTTTTAGCATTGCACCTATAATTATAATAACCAGTTATATATAGTTATATAGATAAAATACTAAGATTTAAGTGTAATATTTTATTTTGTTTTTTAATTATTTTGAATATTAGGATATATTTATAATTATAAGAATTAAATCACAAAATTCACAGGTTTATTTTATTTATTTTTAATTATTATATTATACCTACTATTTATTATAAGTGTTATACCATGCAATTCACAAGTTTATTATAATTTTTTAAATTTAATTTAAATTATATAATTGGTTCCATAAAGCTCTATACATGTATAGGCATAATAACATAGTAAAAAAATAAATTACCTAAATAAAATAAAATAATTTCTTTTTTATAACTCCCCAACAGGCAATAGTTTAAGTAAAATTTAGTAAAAATTAACTAAACTAGAATTCAAAAGTTAATTTTAACTTAGTTGAATCAATAGATTATTTTGAATCAAGGTTTAATTATTAACTTTATTTAAATCTAAATATAACTTAACTTAATTTAGTTGAAAAAAATCACTTGCCAAACCTTGCAAAAAGTACATCATTAACAAATGATAACTTAAGAAAAATATGATTGGCCTAAACTTGCTAAGTTACCTTAACATTTAATGCAGGGTTTATGAAACAACATATTATGAAATATTGATAAATGAAATTAATTCTAGGTCAGAATAGATTAAATAAAATTTTACAATGTTAGCTTACCTCTACTATTTATTTAATATAGAACTCATAGAATGGTATTTTGCTTTTTCATTAAAATTTGAACTTGAAGTGTTCATATAAAAAAAAAAAATCAAAAATTAATGATTGTATTACTCAGCTTTATTTTTTTTCCACTAATTGCAATTTACCATAAATAATTAATAAAGAATAACTGTAGATTTAGTTTGGTAAATAACATAGTACAGTATTCCTTCATATTTAAGGATAATTCAAGATCAGTTGCCCCCAAAAAAAGTGAGGTAAGATCATTTTGAAGTGAGATACAATCAGTCACAATGGTAGAGAATAATTTTGTTAAGATTAAAATTTTACTTTTATTACAATTTAAATATGATCTACTAAATTACACTATGTTTTGTATTTCTTTTATATATATATAAATTGATTAAATATACAATAGACTATCTGTCTGTAGTCAATGGGATGTTAAAATTTGACTACCACCCATACAATACTAGTCTTTACCATAGATAGGTATACAAATTGTAAATGACTTTAGCTCTTAATAACAGCTGCATCCTATGGGTGGTAGCCAAGTAATCCTATACCATGGGCTATCTGTTTATGGTATAAACACAGATACCTATCATCTAAAAAATAATTAGTTGTATACTAAGAAACTAATCTTAATAAGTAGCACATAGGTTATTTAATAGTGAATTTTTTTTAAATAGAACACAATTTTTAATTAACTTGGATTTTAATTTTTTTGTTTCTTAAAGTATAGTGATGAATCGTTATTCATATTTTATTTAAACATTATCATAATGTAAAATAGTTGTGTTAATCACTTGGTGATTTATAAAAGTTATTTTGTTTAAAGGCTAAATAGTACAATACTTATCCTTATTCAAAATTGTAATAAGTATAGTTAAAGGTCATACGGGTTGTTCCGGCCAGGCCACTTAAGTTTGCTTTCATAAAATTCAATGACAAGCTGAGGCCACATTATGTTTGCATCTTTAGAAGAAACAAGGTCAGCGTCATTAATGCCTAACCACTTAACCAAAAACAACAATTCGCCAGATTCATCAGTAGCACCAAGAATTCTTTCTGCTTGTCTGTTAGCAAACAATGGATCATTGACATTAATTGGAGTGGGAATAAATAATTCATCGGAAGAAGATGAAAGTTCTTCTTTTACTGTAGCATCTTGTATTACATCAATAGGGTAGTCAGTGTACTCATCATCAAGTTTTTCACCTTTAATAACTGTACTTAAAGGAGACATCATTACCTGGTCTTCCATTCGAGATGTACTAGCATAAGATGTTGATGGTGTTGGTTCATAACTGATATTAGATGTATAATTACTGACACTTGGTGTATAATTGCTGACACTTGGTGTATAATTGCTGACACTTGGCGTATAATTGCTGACACTTGGCGTATAACCGCTGCTACTAGCTGAATAACTATGGCCAGTAGTTGTATAACTGCTACCACTAGCTGTATACCTGCGGCCACTAGCTGTATAACTGTTGACACTAGCTGAATAACTGCTGACATTAGCTGTATAATTGCTGACATTTTGTATATAACTGCTGGTACTAGCTGTATAACTACAACTAACAGGTCTACAAGCAACTGAAGCTTTACGTCCACGTCCACGTCCACGTTTTTGTTTAGCTTTTCTTTGTTTAGCTTTTTTTTCCATTTCCCTGCGTCTTACCAAATCTTCGAATTCTTCAATAAGCTCTTCACAATCAAGGTTTTCCTCTGGCTCCCATGTGTTATCTTCATCAGTATATCCTTTCCATTTTAAAAAATATTCTGTTCTATTATTTCTTACCCGCTTGTCTAAAATCTCTTCAACAGAATATTCCTCGTCTTCTACATTTGTAGACTGTTGAGCAATTTGATTCATTCTAAAATTTAAAATAAAACAAATGTTAATATAAATTATAAATATAGAAATTAAAAAGAATATACAAACATTTTTAAAATAATACATACAATATAACAAGATTCTTTTTAGAAATCACTATTAACAATGATGAGCATAATATTTCAAAACTATATAAATTATATGAATAAAATAAATGTCTTTATTTAGGACCTATAAACTATAAATTTGAGGTACATGGCATTGTAAAGAGAAAGATGTAGGCAATTATGCTGGATGATATTGTAACAATATGTACATTATTTCACTGGTGGTGGGTGGTTAGTATTGGGTGTACAGGCAAGGGTTTTATTTTTATAGAGGAAGTAGTCATGTTACAAGAAAAACGATTTTTTAACAGGAAATTGAAAAAAAAATATTACAGATCATTGAACATTATTAAAGAAGAACAGTCCAATAAATTGTAATGAATACACAAATGTATCAAATATAATTGTCTATATTATTTTCTAATTTTATCAATTACCTACAAACAGTATTAGGTACCTTTCTATTTCTAATATTCTAATAAAGTGTATTACCTAACTTAATCACAACACTGAACATTTACAACTTCTAAGAAGTAAAATTATTAACAATTTTAATAATTTGAAGAATTATAATCCTGTTACAGTTAAAAATATTAGTAGAATTTAGCGATACATACACAATAAAATTAATCATACACCAGTTGTATGAACTTGCAGTACACTATATACCACACACATTCATAGATTCTTATTGTATTACAAGTTATTCAACTTATCACTTTTATATATGGATAGTAGAGTCATAATACTTATGATCAAATTATTACTGATAAAATACTGATAAATAGATATAGAATAGGTATAAAATACCTAACAAATACTAGTGTAACTAATCAAATTAATAAAGTATTCATTTATTATTGCTTTCATGTCAAAAAAAAAAAAAAAAAAACCAAAGGTATTACTATCATCATTGAATTTTTATTGAATATTAATGAAAAGAAGAGAAAATATAAAATAAATCGTGTACAAATTGATTACTATACTGTGGCCCACAAAATAAGAAAATAGATATAGATTTGAACCTGGAGACTTTTAAAGTTTTTTAAGAATGGATGAAACCATTTTTGATATTATCAGTTTTAGTTCACATATGCCTTATGATAACAAGGAATATAACATCATTATTAAATTGATCAAACTTATTTTACATGGACCCCCACAAGTTTGTTGTATGGCAAACTTGTCATACAACATTACCATATACATTATAATAATAATTTATGAGATTGTATCAAATAAAGTAGTACAATCTGATTAATTGAATTGTGTATAGAACCCTTTCATTTTGTTTACAATCAATCAATAAAATGATTTTGGTTATTTAAATTTTAAATTATATGCTGTTGATGGATGTGCAGTCTTTGCACATGCCCAACCATTTTTATTCTTATTATTGTCTTAAAATCCTTACAAATTTAAAACAAAATATAATTATTTTGGAAAAGTAAGTATATTAGTCTAGCAAAAATTGTACCTACATTTTATAGAAAACCACATTTAATTATAAAAATAAAATAAAACATTAATAAAAGTCCAACATTTTTTAAGAATTTATGAATAATAATTTAAAATATTTTTTAATTTTGTTTTTAAACCGTATGAGTATGCAGTATACACTAATTAAAAATGAAAAATGTAATGGATGTTTTCATAATTTATATTTATAGAATATAGATTAAGTTAATTTAGGCAAATATTACAGTTATAGACAATAATATAATTAATAACTGCATAGAATCTACAAAAAAAAAAACAAAAATATGTTACCTATTATTGTTATTTATTTATAACTATTTAGTTAATTGTAGAATAAATCAGAAAAAAAAAAATTATTTTAAAATTAGAAACATAATTATGCTATCAGAGAAAACATGTCGAAGATCATAGTAAAATAAATTTATTATAAAATGTTAATTAATAGACATACCTATGGCAATATTTGAAACAAAATTAATATTTAAATTTCAAGTGTAAATAAATAATATTTTTGAGCATTCAAGATTATTAAATCGAATATTATATAATAGCAATTATTAAAATAAAAGTTGTTTAGTTTGTACAATGAATATGATTGCTTTGTTATTGTTGCTTTGGTAGGTATCTGCTTTTATTTTTAATTCTAAAATAATTGTTTTTTTTTTTTTATATATATATATATAAAGGTACCTATGTACTATACTATGTATTGCTGCAGTAGATAGTACGATTATGATATAATTTGCTGATGGTTTTGTAGAATTTTATCATTACTGTAATATTTATTGCAGCAATACCTACCACTAGAAGATTGGAAACTGATATTTTCTTTTTTTGTCAAACATATACACAGAATAATAATTTAGATCAATCTTTTGTCCATCAATCTGACCAATAGTGATAAGAATTTTGAATTTAACATAAAGTGTACATAAGATCAGCCAGCACTTTATTTAAATTTCAGTCATTAATTTCTAAAAATATGGAAATTGGTATAGGTATATGATAGGTATATCAATGTAAATTATATATTAATAAAAACTAAAACTAAATTGAAGAAAGTAACCTGCAGGACTATGTGCAATATCAAAACTGTTTTAAAAACTCTTATCGGTTCACTAAGTTGATTTGGCTAATAGAAAAAAAAAATTGGTGTAAATTTCTACATTACATAAATGTTTGACAAAGAAAGAAAATACCCGTTTCCAATTTTTGAGACCAAGATTACACCGACAATCTACTGAGTGATACCCGAGTGATGTGATTGGGATTTAACATGTATTCAAAATTGAGATATTAAACAATATTAAGTGAAATATTAAACATGTTTAATTAAAGTAAAGTCACTGGGGTATCACTGTGTGAACCTGGCTTAATAGTAAAAAAAAAAAAAAATCAAACTGTTAAATTTTTGTTTAAATTGTAACACAATAACATAAATCATTATACTAGATAGATAGGTAGCTACTACCTTTAATAATAATTACAAAAATATTAGTTAATAGTAAAAAAAAAAAAACAAACTGTTAAATTTTTGTTTAAATTGTAACACAATAACATAGATCATCATACTAAATAAATAGGTAGCTACTACCTTAATAATAATTACAAAAAATATTAGTTGATAAACAATATCACCACAATATTCTAACATAAGTTACTAAATATTAGTTGATATACTAATATAATCAATATTTTACCTAAAATGAAACGCTTAACTTCTTTACAATAAAATATATATAGGTAAAATAAACATGGCAAATAATAATCACTTAATAATGTTTAATAAATTACAGTTGTTATTGATTATATGTAACTTACTTGAATGGCTTGAAATATGTTGCTAGATACAATAACAATATCTAAATTAATGTTATGCTGGTAAGATGCATTGAACATGAACTTCAGCAAAAACGAGACATGCGAAGAAGCTATGGAATATAACCTATAGATGACATGTAATAAACGAATGACAAGGAACAAGATCAAGGATTAGTGATAACTGATAAGTAAGTGGAAAAAATGGTATAATGGCGGTAGAAATGGATCACGAATGGTGGGAAATAAGCGTCTAAACCACCAACCTCCTTGCAAATAACGAATTATATGGTGTTATTTTATATAAACATGTGTTATTATTCCCGCTTACTTTGTTATTTTTAAATAACAAAATAAGATTTCTTTTTATAGATACGTAAGAGTAGTATAAAATACTATATTATTACAATATACAATTTTTGACAAGATCAAATTTCTGATTAATTATCATTACTGTTTTTTTTTTATCAATTATCATAATTTATCATACATTTTCGTCTGTGATTCATACGAATTTCTAACTAAAAAATTACATCAAGTGTTAAAGATTTATAAAAAAAAAAAAAAAAAAATATTATAAAATAATTTTCATTTTGAAATTTTAATTACTAACTACTGAATTTTTTTCAAATTGTTTCTTCAATGAATATTTCAACATTTATTAATGTAATAAAATAATAAAGTAAAAACAAAATTATTAAAATGATTCATACTCATAAATAAATATATAAATTAAAAATAAATAAATTAATGAATGCGTCACCTGGAGTATTATGATAAGTGTATTAATGAATTATACGGCCGGTTTCGAATTAAAAATTCATTATCAAATATATCATAGTTAAAATGTAAAACGCGGCTGATATAAAAAATAAATGAAGGAATACTCAGAAAAAAAAATTTTTTCGTTTTATATAGAAATAATTTATTTTAATAGGAGAGACTTATAATTCTAATAGAATAAAATAAATAAAAGTATATTTGAAAGAATTTAGTTTAGTAATTGTTTTTAAATCCATTTTATTGATATAATAGATTAATGTTGTAGATACAAAATATTCCTAGTATTCGATTTTAGTTATGTTAGTTTAGTAATCCCATGGTAGTTTAAACCACCATCTTTTAATTTTTTTCGGTCTGTAAACAATTTTGATATGCAAAATCTTGCTTCAATCGAAAACGACGAGAGTATTTTTGTAGCATTTTGGATCTGATTGGCGAGAATGGTTTTCCTTTATAGTTTACCTACGTTATATGGAAGTACTTATAATATCTTTATTTTTTTTTCTGAGGGCAGCGAGGAATACCAGTCACAATAACCAATTGGTTTTAAAATAGGCGCTTTTTTGTTTTTTGTCTGTAAACACAGACAAAAATAAATTGTTTAACTTATCAGAAGTCTTGCTTCGTTTTTCGAGTATAGAATATTTTCTGAAAAAAAAATGTGTAGGGGGTAATTTTTAACTTTCAGTGTAGTTTTTTTAATTATTAGGAAAAAATTGTAAAATTTACAAAAAAAAAAAAACCGGTTCATTATTTTAGATTATGCGCGTAGCAATACATACATATAACAATACATATTGTTTTTACTATAGGTATGTTTTTAATTCTTTTTGTCTTAGTACAACTTTTCTACCATAAATTTTGCACCAAAAATGACAAGAGATCTGTTTTGGATGCAGTTGGTAATTTTTTACTTTCTAACAGATTTTTTTTAAATTGGTTGGAAAAAACGTTTAAGAAAAATAGACAAATATTTATACTAACGGTTTTATGAATCTTCTATACATTATATTATATAAAAGACAAACATCACTCATTTACTGATCCCTTCATCCAAAAAATGATAAAATGGATGCACTTTACAATGATACTTTACACTTGGAATAATGGCGGAGAAATACTCTAGGTGTGCTGTAAGGGTGCAACAAGTCTGTGGTATGGGGGAAACAGTTTTACAACCTAGAATACCTTTGATTATAATTGAATACCAATTTCGGTTCAAACTGCTGCAGTTCCTGTCAAGGTCTTTTTTAAGTTGTAAATTGAATCTTAACAATTTGTTGGAAATACTTGATTTTTAAATAATTGTATTTCATAATATTTCTAATTTTTTTTTCTTATTTGACAATTATTTCATATTCATATTTATTTAAAAAATAGTTGGTCGTATTTTTTTTCTAGTTATTCAAGCGCTTTAATTGATAGAAACTTTAAATTTAGTACAATAAAATACAATATAGGTAAATAAATAAATATAGTAGTCTATTTGACATGTTCATTTTCAACAATTTTTATTTTTAGTTTTTTCAATAATACACAGAATTTATTATTTTAATTTTATCTTCTGGTTCAGTCCAATTATCAAATTTGTCTTCAATTAAGTATCCAAGTTTTGATTTAGATTCTTTAAGTGTAGATCCATCTTTGTGGGTTATTTTAGTGATTTTATCAGCCTAAAATGAAAGTTAAAGAGCATTTAATTAAAATAATTTTTAACAAAGTTTGAAATGATATATTATTGCTATACTTTATCATAACCAATATGTGGATTCAAGGCAGATCATTTTTTAAGAGATGAAAAATTCTGTCTTTATTAGCTTCAATTTTAACACAAATACACAGTTGTCTGTAAATGTCATGCAGTTGTCTATCAAAAGTCTAGTAGATCTCAATAGTTAGACACAATCACTGATTTGAAAACATTCAGCTGAATATTACCATTACTGTATCCATTATAGCTAAATGATTGTCTATTACTTGAGTGAAAACCTTTGTGATTGTTTTACATTGAGTAGAATTTACTTTACCTAAATTTTAATACATTAGTATTGTAATTGAAAAAAAACAAGATCATTATAAATAGATACCAGGCATAATACTGTTTCCAGGTCCATTTTCTAGTAAGGCCAATTCACCAAGAACACTTCTAGATCCAGACACAAGAAATCTTACATCATTTATCAGAATTGAAAGTTACAAGTATCGAGACAGCAGCCGTGATCGAAGAAGCCAACCATTGTTAGTTACTTCAAGGTACTTCAGGATGTGTTTTGGTGATAATTAGTCAGCCAATAAGTCCTGACACACTTTCGCATGAAACGCCTTCTGGGATTCCCAGGGATAGTGTGTGTGGAGAGTTCAGCTATTAGTGGATTAATTATAAGTTAGCATGAAATAATATTAGTTTTTTACAAAAAATAAATAGACATCTTCAATTAATTTTTAAAATATAATTACTAAAAAGACTTCAAACTAAAATAAACATTTTAGACAAATTTAACATGTAATTATCCAATATATGAACAAAAAGTAATTTAAATTCACAGTACTTTACACACTCAATAAAAATTATCTTTACTTGTGTGTGTGTTCGCCTATTTTTATTATACTAGAAAACTCTTTGGATTTTTTATATATAATTCTTTGTGTACATTTTTTAGTGCAGGCAATAATAGCAGGTTGTTTAATTTCAAAGTACAACTGCAATATGTATAACTGTTGGGAAAGTGTAATTGGAATTCTGACTTTTATTTACAGTAGAATCCGCTTAATAGGGACACATTGGGCGATGCCCTATTTGTTCCCATTATCCGACTGTCCCATTTAACCGAATAACTAATACACCGAAACTATTTAATTGCATATACTATGTACATTGTATGTACAAACATAATAACTTTATTTAAAAAATACATACAAACACACTTAATTCATACTTTATTTAAAAATCACATATTATTATTATTTATTTATTATTATTAGCAGTAGTACGTTATATTTATTATTTAGTATTATCTATTAAATATCGTAAATTAATTAGATGATTATTTTATTATAAATTAATTGATTAACATACTTAATTTATATTTTTTTAGGCTGTTAGACGAATAGCTTTTTCATTATTTTTCAATTGGCTTAGTACAGATTTAGAGGTGCCTATTATTTTATCTAACTCACGAAGACTAGAAGAATGAAGTTGAGCTTTAATTTTATCCAGATTAGAAATTTTTTCAATCAACGTTAAATCTCGTTAAAACGAGACATAAATGTTATGTATTAACACAAACTGAGATCAATAAAAACACACATAAGTTAATACGCAGAGACGAAAGAACATGAACTAAAGTTTTTCAATTTTGTAAGCTAGTCGACTCTTATTGAGGTAGTAGAAGAAAAATAAATGATTACCTATATAATAGAGCTATAAAGATTAGATCAATGATTGACATAATTGACATTAACTATATAATAGAGTTGTAAAGATTAGATAATTACAGTTTCGATAAGAAGTAGATAGATAATTTAGGCCAGAATATCTAATTAGATGCTTTTATTTTTGTCCCTTATAACCAATGGTTTGTCCCAGATAAACAAAGTTAAATTGCCTTAAACGAATACATTTGTTCAGGAAAATGCTAATTCGTCCCCATTAAGCGGTTGTCCTCTTTATGCGGTGTCTCAATTAAGCGGATTTTACTGTATATGGTCATTAAGGTGAACTGGTCTTTCAGATCTCACTTCTCAAGATTTCAATAACTCTATTACTAATCACCTATAATAAATATAAATTAATGTCAAAATTAACTATGAAGTTATTTGTTATATCATATATACTTGAATAATTTCAAAAATAAACATGCTGTCCCACGAAGATGTATCCCTTGAAACAGTGGCGAATCCAGTGTTGAATTTTGGGGAGGCCTCCAAAAAAAATTACTTCTAAGCCATATATGCATTATAATGTTCTAGTTCAAGTGTTCCTAAAAATATGAAAGAAATTGGTTACTAAGGGAATGTTATTAATATTATTATGGTTGGATTAGAAATTGTTTATGTTAATTAGGTACCTATAATAATCATGCTATAATATATTTGAATTATTTTATTTTAAAATAACTTCTATAATACTGAAATCGAATTTGCGCTTATTTTTAGAAGCAAAATTATTTCACTTTCCCATTTCCCAATGGTTTCAAAAATAGGTATTGTGTAATTAGTTATAAAGGGTTACACAATTAAAAATATTTGTGTAAGTAAAAAGATACTGTTTAAGAGGTCTGGGAGGGGGCAGAGGCCTCTAGGCCCCCTTCCTGGGACCTGGAGCCATAGCCTTGAATATCTGCAGAGTTAATATGATAATTAAATTCTCTTTATTTTTTTTTTTATATTACTCACATGAAAAATACTTATATTTATATATTTTTTTAGTTAATTCTGTTAATTTGTGTGAAAGCTGATGTTATTTAGAGAATAACCTAACCCTGTTACAGGATAATATTGGTTTTTACAAGGATTAGTGGAATTTAAAATGGCTGTTACTTAGAAACTATTCATCAGATATAAATGTGTGATATATTACATGTTTAAGAAAAATAAACTCTTCAGAATGACTATCTTAAAATTTTTCTTAAATAATAAAATAAAGAGTTTTTTTAATTAAAAAAAAAAAAAAAATAAATATTTGTAGCCCTTATCCTTGTGAGTAATATATAAAAAAAAAAAAAACAGAATTTGATTATCTTTATTATCTTCAGAGTTATATATAAAGGGATATATCTTTGCGGGACAGCCAGTATACTTCATAAGTATTCACATTTGACTGTGTAGACTCACATAGTGTGTGTATCAGATCCCACTCTGCCATATGGCCAAAGGAAAATAAGGAAAATTTTTTATGGTGTAAAGCTTTCCAAATATTTTTTATCATCAAATGTTTTACTAATGGCATTAGCAATATTAGCATAAGAGCAAATTCATTATTAACCTCAGCTGTTGCTTTTTTCAATATTCCCATAGCCAAAATCACTGGATACTGGAAAATAAAATAAAAATATTTTAAAATTAGAATTGCAATGAAGTTGTATGCAGATATAATTTTAGATTGAAGGTTAGCTTTAAGGTGGTTTAAGCTATGCACTTAAGTATTTAGAGGCCCTGCATCTAGTTACAACCATAGCTAAATAGTGATTTCACATGATTATTTAGGAAAATACAAACTAAAATTAATGAAGTAAAAAGAATTGTATTATAATGATTTATATAATACTATGAACTAATATAGATTTGAAATTAAAACAGTTGTCAAATAACTCTTATTATAGTCTTGTATATTCTACTAATACTGCCATTGATTTTATTATATAGAACATAAAAAAAAAATAATGCTGCATGTTTTTATAGGTGTAATGTTATATATAATAGTAGAATACAATCTTCAATTACTATAACTTCTAAAATAATAATTTCACTAAAAATTGAAATATTAAAAAAATATTGTTTAAATTGGTAAGGGATGTGATAAAGTGCACTTTAATTGTAATTTTAACTGTAATTGTAATAAGGATAGAGGGGAAATTTAATGTATATCAGTACGAAATGATTCTAAGCTGAGTTTGGTTATACATGTTATGAAAGGCCAAATTTACCATTTGAAATATCCTAAATTATATNTTTGTTTTTATCACATATAGGGCATATAGACAAATAACTCTGTAGGTCATCATTGATTTGTAGATTATACACAATAAGAATGCCATATTATATACCACGTTACTTGAGATTAAATGTTATACTAATATAAAATTTAACACTAATTACAAATAAAATATTTTCATCTTCTTGTTTAAAGAGTTATATCTTTGAACATAAAAGAATTGTAAAAAAACAATAATGTACATACCTATAAAATATTATATTTTAATAGTTATTTTTATAAAACAAAATCTAATATTTCTTTCATTTAATTCATTGATAACTTTTTGAACTGATAAATTTATCTGTGGATGAATTTACAACATTTTAATAAAACATGGATATTAGGATATATAACATAATTCTTGTTTAGACTAATTTTTAAACTATTTTTAATTTCATTAAAAATGTTTTAATGACAGGAAGGAATTTTAACACTTGGTTGATTTTTATTCTCCCCCAATTGATAAACACAATATTATTGCTGAACTAAAGATGTAGAAATTGAAATTAGCTCTTAATGACTTATTAACTAAAAATAGTTTAAAAATTAGTCTAAAAAAAGAATTATGTTATATATCCTAATATCCATGTTTTATTAAACCGTTGTAAATTCATCCACAGATAAATTTATCAGTTCAAAAAGTTATCAATGAATTAAAATGAAAGAAAAATTAGATTTTGTTTTATAAAAATAACTATTAAAATATAATATTTTATAGGTATGTACATTATTGTTTTTTTACAATTCTTTTATGTTCAAAGATATAACTCTTTAAACAAGAAGATGAAAATATTTTATTTGTAATTAGTGTTAAATTTTATATTAGTATAACATTTAATCTCAAGTAACGTGGTATATAATATGGCATTCTTATTGTGTATAATCTACAAATCAATGATGACCTACAGAGTTATTTGTCTATATGCCCTATATGTGATAAAAACAAAATAATAACAAATAATAGATAAGTACATTTCATATAAATTTAAGTACCAAATAAAACAATTAGACTAGAGTATCATATAATTTAGGATATTTCAAATGGTAAATTTGGCCTTTCATAACATGTATAACCAAACTCAGCTTAGAATCATTTCGTACTGATATACATTAAATTTCCCCTCTATCCTTATTACAATTACAGTTAAAATTACAATTAAAGTGCACTTTATCACATCCCTTACCAATTTAAACAATATTTTTTTAATATTTCAATTTTTAGTGAAATTATTATTTTAGAAGTTATAGTAATTGAAGATTGTATTCTACTATTATATATAACATTACACCTATAAAAACATGCAGCATTATTTTTTTTATATGTTCTATATAATAAAATCAATGGCAGTATTAGTAGAATATACAAGACTATAATAAGAGTTATTTGACAAATGTTTTAATTTAAAAGTTATCAATGAATTAAATTAATGAAAAATTGGATTTTGTTTTATAAAAATAACTATTAAAATATAACATTTTATAGTTATGTACATTATTGTTTTTTACAATTCTTTTATGTTCGTAAATATAACTCTTTAAATAAGAAGATGAAAATATTTTATTTGTAATAGGTGTTAAATTTTAACATATGTATATATATACAAACACATAAAACAAAATTGAATATTTTAATTACAATGACTGATGATTTTGATTTCATGGGAGAATTATTCTTATAGACACCCATGTAAATATGCCACTGTTATTAGAACACTCACTGGCATTTGTTATTTTTAACGACCACTATTGAAATTCATTGTTAATTTGAAGGTTTTAAATTCAAAAATAACAATCATTGAGTACATCTAGTTCATAAAAAATATGGAATTCTTTCTGAAAACTAACATTACATTTCAATGTTTAGCATGGTTATTTTAACTAGGAACTGTAATATTTAAAAATATTTACAGCAAATATTCGTAAAAATAATGAACACTTTGATTACACTCACCATATTCTTTTTGATCAGGGGACACTTTAAAGTTGCACAGCCTCTTCTTTGTTAAAAACCAGTAAACAGAACTGATTTGATCCAAAATGACTTGAACTAACACATCCTCATTGTTGATGATGAATGTGTAATGGTTTACTTCCTTAACAAGTTTCAAAAATGAAGGTCAAATATGTTGCACATGTCTAATTTGTATTTATTTGTTTAATAATTAATAGGTAATAATGTTTATAAATATTCAAATATATTATATTTTGATAGTAAATTTGTAAAATTTTAGGAGACCAACAGCTATAGAAATTGAGTTTTATTGAAACAAAAAATGTGAAATTTTTTAGAAGAAAGGCTCAAAAGAAACAGTTAATTTTACTCCCATAGGTAAACAATTTTTATAATGCTCTGAATCAAAAGTACCCTGTTGAAGGAGTTGCAAAAGATAGTCATGACTTAAAGATTGTTAATGCGTAGAATATCTCAATATTTGTGTTCTGTGATTCTTTCTATAATTTATGATGAAAACTTAATACATGCATTACATTTTGTTATGAGATAGCTCACTAAAGTATTTAGTTGCTTGTCTTCTGTGGCAAAAAAAAAGTAAGTTTATTAATTGTAATTATTATTATTTGTTTATTTAAATTTTATGTTTGTAGATTAAATGTAGTGAATCTCAACAAATATTAATTCTATTTCATGGTTAAATTTAGATTCTACATTATGCAATTGAATGGTTAAACAACTGGGAACTAAATATAACATGATGTTTAATATAAAAAAATACTGTTTAACTCATTTAATTTCTGATAGCTTAGGTAAAAATAACTTTGCAATCAATTATGGACTTAGTAAATCCAATTAATAATTGCATATTTGCATGTGTACTAACTGCAAAATTCAATCAAGATAATCTAGAGAAAAAATTATTTTAAAATAAAATCTTAACTTTCAGAAGTTTTTGAAATGCTTAGACAGGTGTTAAGGCCTAATGACCACTTCATAACTACTTTTTTTTTTTACAATTGTATAGAATGTTAACAGTGTTTTTAGTTGCAAAACCATGAAAATCGAGGAATTGCACAGTATCAGAAGGTCTAAAATATTATAAAACATATTCAATAAGGTCTTACATAATTGTCTTCAGGATTCATGAATTGTGATTAGAAATTTACAGAATGTATTCCAATAATTTATGTTAGTGACTTAAGGGAATTGATTAATTATCCAAAAAATATATCCTAAAAAATTGAAAAAAAATGAAGAACATAAGACAAAAGCTGAATACAATTATTGAAGACAGTTTTTGGGATTTAGAAGACATAGGAGTTGATTATTGGCCTCCAAGGTTAAATTGGCTGTGTAAAGTTTTTGATTGTTAATTTAAATGTATTAGTATTTATAAAAGGTACCTATTTAGCTAGCTGAATATTTTTTATTTTATTTTATACCTGCTAAACTAATTAGCATAGACTTTTTTATGCATTTAAAATTAAAATTAAATAAATGAAATATTATATATATATATATAAAAAAAAAAAATAGATAGTTTTGAAATATTTATAATAGATATCTATTATATATTGGCCTATATATAATAGAGGATATCATTATAAGAAATTACATTGAGTTAAACATCAAAATTGTGAGAATAAAATGTTATATTTTCATAATAATACCAAGTCAATTTTTCCCAGCTTCTTAGTCATTTCATCCTATACTTTGATCCAATATTTTGGTTATAACTTGATAGTACCAATCCATTGACACGATCCTGTTTGACAAAAAATTCAATAAATAAAGTGAAATTATAATTTATTGTATACACATACCTCTTTCATAGTGTTTCTGAGATAGGTTTTTGTTCTTTTTAAGCCAGAAAAAAATCATTCTGGCATTGAAGTAGCTGCACTACATTTTCAGTAATATAAATATATCTGGGAATATGATAGGGTCACAATGTCTGATGGCATCCAATGGATTAGAAGGTATCATTTCACCATTGCTTGTTACTAGCCCTTTGAGGTTTTGTTTCCAAATTTGTAGCTCACAGTTAGTTGTGACAGTACCAACTTCAGGAAGATAGAAAGAAACTAGAGTTTCAAAGTCTATTATATCTGTTGAATTAGTGTCATCAAACAAACATCGAAACCCTGGCATTTAGTTTTAGTTGTTAAGAATTAAAATGCGTAGTTAAATATTTAGTATATGTTATAGTTTATAAATTGTTGAATACCTTTAAAAATATTCTGGTAAGCCAAGAATATTTCATTGAAGACATGAATGATTGAGTGAAGGGAATACAAATAGATATGAGGTAATAGTCTTCAAGACTAAGGCTGTTATTTGATGATAAATAGTTTGATCGGTTTTTTTTGACAGTTTATCATACGTTTAGTAGATATTTCCAGTCCCATTATTTCAGCCATTCTCTAATTACACCCATAATAATAAAAATAGTATTATTCAAGGAAAAAGTAAAGAATTAACATTTAAAATAAATATTAGGCATTTACTTGAGCTTCTTTGAACATTGTTTTAAATCCTTTTTCAACATTTTTTCTTAGATTTTCAAGAACAGTCATGCTGGTACTTGCCAAATTGACATTGTGTATCTATACTATTTACTATACATTAAGTATTTATTCAGTTAAAGAAAAAAAATGGTTTAAAAATAAATATATTAAGTAGCTCTGATATAAAAATTTATACACAGTATAAATACATTTATTCACAGTAGGTAAAATTCACCATACACATTTTTTTAAATTTATATCAAAATCGGTACAAGTTTTATAGGTTTGGTATAATCACGGTTATAACAGTGGGTGTAATCATTCCACAAAAAGTTATAATAATTCGAAAAACTTCTAAGGTTGGCAATAGTAGTTTGTAATGTTAGCATAGACATATTAATAAATGAATTGCGCTTTCTTCACCTCCCGGCCGCTGATAGGCGACAGCACACTTTTTGTCGAAATATTTAAATCCTCTCTGGAAATTTCAATAACCCAGAAGACTGTGACAAATTACTAAAATGGCTTCACTGTAATATTTGTGAATTATTGTGTTGTGGCGGGTTTCGCGCCACATTTCTTTCTTCCCGCTGGCGTCACTCGCGGCGGACGTCGGCCTCTCCCCTTCGCCGTCGGCGTTCAATAGTCATCGGCCACAGCTCCGCTCGACTCGACTACTCGACCGCTACGCGGGTTCTTCGCACCGACGCCGTACGCGAAACATTGTTTTCCGACTCCGAACCATCATGTATAATTGATTTTTACCACTAATGTTGTTCTAATAAATGCGTGCTCGCTTGTTCTCGTGCCACAAGCAGTCAACTGGCGAGCACTTGTTTAATGTTGTTATGTCGTAAATAAACGTTTCTTTATTACTTTATCATTAGACCTCGTGTTTTGGTGTAACCCGCCAAAGTGTCATGTTTTTTGGATAGCCGAATAATGTTATTAATTAATATTGAATGATAAGGAAAGCGATTCGCGATAGAAAGCGAAGCGGCTGACATCTAGTGGTGTTGGCATGAAATATTGTAACCGGAGTGAAAATTTTCCTACATATAATTAATGAGTGCAGCAAACATTTTATTAAAGATGATTTCTTAAAATCGACAAGTTTTTATTATAATTTAGAACTAATGCTCAAATTATATAGAATACCTACCGACTGTTAAATCAATATGAAGTAACATAGGTTATAGGTAGGTACATTAATTTAGTTATTATGTGATGGGTGTGATTTTAACAATTCCATAGATTTCATAAAAACATAGAAACATAGGTTTTCCACTGAGATCACTAGTTTTAACCCTTTGGCGACACACATTGTTTTTGAAAATTTTTTTTTGGAAAATATTAAAAGTTAGCCCTCATATTACAGATAAAAAAAAAAAAAATAGGTGGTTTCACTAAAATACCACAATGCCTCATAGGGTTAAAACACATAGTAACGATTTTTTAATATGTTGTTATTATTTTCCATGCATCCAAATTCAACAATGTGGTTACATTTTATTATTTGCGTACCCTCAATCAATGGTCGCTTAGTCACCAATAAAACTTAAAATGTCAGTTAGCTCAACAACCGAAGTAAACAGTTTTTTTTTTTCTATTTGATTAGGTATTATGAAATCGAATAAAAAATCGATTATTGTGATATTGATTATTATCAGTTATCAGCATAGATAGTGGCCCGTTGGTAAAAGTAACTATATCGCCCCTATAATTGCTTTTTATAGAGAGCAAGTAGAAATAAGGGCGTCCATATACCTATAAACACATTATCAGATCTATGAGGGTGACCATGTATTAAATACTTTTATATTTTTATCCGCCATAAAATTAATTATTGTTATTAGGTTTTGGCGCACATGCGGGACGTAGGTAAGACGAACAATACATACATATAGGTATGACGGTGGAAAGAATGAATAGTTATGAAATATGTACAAATGATGGTGACCTAATCTTTTACTAGTCTATACCAGCCTAGAGAGCCTATATAATTTTATATAGGCTATTTAGACCATCTGCCCATCCTATACCAATTGGCAATTACATTGATAGCTGCGATTCAAAGCAGCGCGGTGACGCACGCCGTCTGTGGAACAGTGCTACCATAAACCGTGCATTCAATGTATTGAAAAATATTGTGTATTGATAATATATCGAATATTTATATTTATGAAATAAATGAAGACTATAAATTAATATTATAAATAATTATTTCTTTATCATCAAATATTAATTGAATAAATTTAACATTTTCCATACATTTTTTTAAGATTTTCATCTGTTGGATGTCTTTAAAAGATATAATTGGTATAATGCTCATTTAAGAACCATGCATTATTTAAACGCAAATATATACACGGTGTATCAAAAGTCTTCATCCAATTTCAAAAATGTATATTTATATTAAAAATGAAGATATAAGGGTGAAATAAAGTTAAATATATTCTTAAAATAGTCAAGTTTTATTTAGTTTGGTTACAAATGTCAATATGACCCCCACCGGCAAACAAAATGGACCGTAAACTTTTTCCCTGGAAATTGCGCAGAAAACATTGATTTTTGGTGAATCTCTTTGATGCTCAACAGTTGCGTGTGATTGCTCTAAAGCCCAAATCCTGACATTATGGCGGTTGACTTTTCCACTTACATGAAATGTGGCTTCGTCCGAAAAAACAATGCGTGAGACAAATGACTCATTTTCTCCTCGTTTTTCGGATATGAAATCGCAAAAATCAATCCTTTTTTGTTTGTCTTCCGGTAGGAGGACTCGTAACAGTTGTAGTCGGTATGCCTTCAATGTCAAACGACGTCGTAGAACACGCCAAACGGTCGAATGTGGGAGATCTAGCTCTAGTCCTGCACGACGTGTAGACTTCTGTGGAGTTCGAACGAAACTTTGTCGAACACGCTCGATGTTTTCGTCAGAGGTACGAGGTCGACCTGAGCGTTTCTGTGCACACAGACTTTCTTGGAACGTTTGGTGCCAACGTCGAATGCTTTGAGCAGTAGGAGCTTCAGTTCCATAAGTTCTTCGAAAATCACGTTGAACGGTTATTGCCGACTCGCACTTATTGAAACGTTGGACGCAAAACGCTTTCTGTTGCGGAGNTGTTCACTAACCATTACGGTGCCAAATTTATCAACTAGATAACGTAAAATAAACTTAGTTATCTAACCTTTCCAAGAATACATTGATTGTTAACCTGCGATTAACCGTTGCAGAACTATATCAGTTCGTAATCGGATGAAGACTTTTGAAACACCGTGTATATTATATTATGCTAATCAAAAAAGTTTAAAATTGTTACCAGTAGTATTACTGCATATATTTGAAACCCATATTAAATATTTAATTTAAGTTGGTAAATTATTAAGTATAATAAGTATAAGTATTTTTAATTAGGTACTTATATATTAAGTATAATAGGAACCTATTTTATTTACTTTATTTGATTTAAGTTATCTTTTATTATGCCATCTATAATATTACAAAAATGTGTGAAAAACTGTCTACATAATATCGGTACCTGGGTATTTAATTATCACTCAGTTGAGGGAATAATAATAATATATTGGGGGATGGTAAACTTTTACAAAAGTAGGTAAGCTCCTACATTGACATAGTGTTAACTCCTATAAAAGATAGTGTTAACTTCTATAGCAAATAATGTTAACTCTTACACTAGATTACACTCTTACACTCTTACTTTAGATTATCTCTTTTTTTTTTGTAATTTATAACTCATATTTATTTACTAACTCTTACACTAGATAGTATTAAAGTTGTAAAAAGTAAAATAAGTAAAAATTAATCATAAACTACAAAAATTAAAAACAAAATATTATAATTTAATTTAATTTGTCTAATTATTAAAATAAATAAAAGTCAGTTATTAACTATAAAAATAAGAGATAGTCTAGATAGAGATTGCTGTATTTCCAATTTACGGAAATGACGTTATCAAAATGTTCGAAAATTTCCGATATGATACCATATATTAATATGTTTACTAAATTGTATTTTACATTCGAAAGTCTCTACGAATATTTAACCAAAATGCAACAAAAAACGTTTTTTTATCATTTTTCCATCAGAGAACTATTTCTGGTATAAACCGTAGTGAGTATTAATTTAAAATAATGAACTCATAAAATCTTACGTTTTTTCCCACTTAAGTGCAATTATCTCAAATAAACATTATTGTAAAATCAATATACATTCTTCGCTACACTCAGAATCTAAAATGTAAAAAGGCCTGTGTAGGAGATTATACCGTCTATTTTTGGCAGGTAAAAAGGGACTATGTAGGAGTTTACACTATGTTTTAAATACAGGTAAAAAGTTCATTTTTATAGGAGTTTACATATAGCCAATATATTACAGGAAGGGTCCAAAATATGTTACATAAAATTGTAATTTTACTGAATTTAGGTTTTAAAACTTGCTTAAAAATAAGACCAAAAAAGTTTTAATCTTCTTTTAATAAAATATATAATTAAATGTACAAAATTACTTGCACATCTTGTCACCTTACACTATACAAAACATAAAAACAAAATGAAGTGATAACACAAATTAAATATACTTTAAACTAATAAAATGCTTTTATCTTTTTGAAGAGCAAATTGGTTTAACACTTCTTCGGGATTAACCGTAACATCTCTATGGGCACTTATTAGAACTTAGCCAGTTAGTCTTTCTTGTCCTGTAGAGTTTCGTAAACATGTCTTGACGCGTTTTACGTTAAAAAAGTTCGTTCGGGAGTTGCTGTAGAAACCGGAAGTGTGGATAGTACTTTTAATAAAAAATGAATATTTGGAAAAAATACTGACTGCAATACCTTACATAATGGCAAAGTTATAGAGAAAAGTGCTGTCGCAGTTATCATACTTATAATAAATCCACTAGTTGTTACACACTTATATAACTGTTAAGCTTTAGATGATGTTTCAATGTCTACAAATATTTGTAGTTCTTCTAATGTTGCAACAAACAGGTTTATATACGAGGTCTGGCTATGAAATAACGAGACTGCGCGCACAAAGAGCGTCCTAAAGAGGTTAGGGGAAAACCGAATACAGCGCTGGTTAACTGGAAGTGTCTATTATGTCAGTACAAAAGTAGGTTTTTGTTGGTGCATTAGTATTTTTTCTGCAGCGGTTAGAAACGAACGTGTTTTTTTCTCTTGCCGAAAACGATGTGTGACGAAAAATATGAGCAACGGATAAACGTAAAATTTCTCATTAAACTAAAACAACTCCAACTGAGTGCTATAAGTTGTTAAAAGAGTCCTATGGTGAGGATTCCCTGTCTCGGGCGCGTGTTTTTGAGTGGCATAAATGATTTTCTAAAGGTCGAGAGTGCACCGGCGATGACCAGCGTCCTGGTCGACCTGTCTTCGACGCCGCAAAAGTTGCTCAAATTAATGAAACTGGCCAAGTAAATAGTCACAGGTTTTTTTTTTTTTTTTTTTTTTTTTTTATTTAACTAACAATATATATTTACAATCTGTATTTACACGTAATACAATAAGTAAATGTGATGTGGAGATGATTGGCATGAGGGGGAAGTCGCCCAGTGGCGGCACCCTGTAAGTCACAGGTTATACCAAGATTTTTCAAAGTTCCTAGAATGACTGTGGCCAAATTTTGACCACCGGTAGAGCTAACCGGTACAAATTGTAAGAAGTCTTCTTTCAATACATAATTATTTATTTCATTTTTTTCAATATTTAAATTATTATCTAAATAACGTACACATAAAGACAGTTGTTCAACACGTGACGCGTCAGTTGTCTCGTCGACTAATGCAGAGAGACATTTTGCCTGATTAATTTTGTAAACTAACTGGCCTTGTATAATTTTTTTACGTACATTTATAAAATTATTTTGAATCATAGAGCTTATATATGTAGTATTTAATGCTTGATTCTCAATGCGATACGTTAGATTTTTATCTTCACATGAAACGCGCATTCTTAATAATGTTAGGAAATTACCCTCATTATAAATAGGTTCAGAGTTGTCTAAAGAGAAAGGCCCATAACCGTTAGTACCGCGTAAAGCTATTTCTTGACTCCCACAAAAAACAATAGTTTGAATTATAGGAATTTTTTTTTTTCTATTTTCTTCAATTTGAATAGCACGCGCGGAATCTAATTTTTGAATTATATTTTGACAGTTTTTGGAATAAACAGCAATAAAATTATCTGCGCGCATAGCATTAGATTTATGAAATTCAGTTTGAATATGTTCATTAAATTTCTCATTCGCTTTTTTTCCAGTTATTAAAAGGTTTTATAACTAATGTAATAAGTTTCTGGTGCCACCAAATTCGCGACCAAATATCGCACAACATTTACAAACTGCACCTTGCTCACCAATTCTTGAATAAACAACCCAAGGAAAACGTTTAATCCATCCTAATTGAAACTTTAATTTTTCATTTAAATATGTTAAATTTATAATTTTCATCTGGTGACCAATGATCAGTGAATAATTTAAATTTTATTTCATTAGATACATTTTTACCCAAATATAAGCCAATATTGTTGTCTTCAACTATTTGCTCCGCGTCCGATTTCAATAAATTATTTTCATTTGTTTGCAAATTTGTTGGTGAATGACTACATGATGATGACGGCGAGTCTATTTGTGGTAGGAGGATAGGAACATTATCGGTCTAAAATTGAGTATTATATGAATGTGAATTCGGTGAAAACGGTCCGGTTGATAAATTATTAATAATTATTAACAATATAACGTACCTTTGGAAGTTTAGACAAATTATTGAATAGTACATTTTTGTTCTCTCATGTTTACTCATTATGATGAATTTGAATTTTAATACGTTTTCACGTAGTTGTCACAATAAGGCCGGACGACAGTATGTTAATTATTATTAAAGTAATATTTTCAATGTACACAAAATTAATATTGTTGTTGTTTATTGTCACCGACTGCCGGGCGCGATCTGGCGTCTATCGATAATAATCTATTATTAGACGCAGTAAAAATATTTTCATATAATGTCATGATTCATATTAGTCAGCAGTTAATTTAATTGAAGTTTAAGTCATTTATAACTGAGAATATTTATGTTGGTACTAAAATAAATAGTTATTTCAAACATTTGTAAAAAACTGAAGAAATTTCGAGGGGGTGGGGCTCCGGACCCCTTGGACCCCCCCAGATACGGCTTTGCCCTAACGGTGTTTCACTTAACATATTTTATTTTATAATTTTTTGCACAAATTAATTACATTAGCTAATATAGTTTGTTGAATATTTTTTTATATAATTGGTAAGAGGAACCTCCCCTTTTAAACACGCATTTGAATAGATAATATTTGTCTAAACGATTTGATAACAATAACACTGATAATAAGGGATTTACCAATTATTTAGCGATTGTATAACAAGAATTTTAAAAAAAAAAGCTACCCTAGGATCATGAGGACGAGTGCAGCCACTGTTGTAGATGGGAACTTGGGAATGTAAGATACAGAAGGGAATAGCAACGATGTAAGCGACAATGTACCATTGCTAACGAAAAAAAAATTCTGAGCGGAGTTCAGTTGATAGTGATGCTTTGTCGACAATATATGTAAATGTCAATTATGATAAAATAATTAAATAGGCATTATATATTTTTTTTAATAATATTAATTTTATATTTTACTAATTTTCCTGGTTTTCCCATGTTTTCTCGGTCTTTCACATTTGTTGAGAAAACTACTGAGAAAATCGAAAATTGACCTCCTTAAAGTACGACCCATAAAAATTTCCTTTCAGAAAAGGGTCTACATAGTATATATCGGAGTAAGCTTTCTAATAGAAAAAGTGTTTACATAAAAAAAAAAAAAAACATCTTTGAGAAATCATAAGCTTCTTCGCTTCACTCAGAATCTAAAAGCCTGATGAATTCCGTTTGGATGTTATAGGGGGAAAATGTCTAAAAGTTTGTTTTGCCTGTTTTAAGAAAAAAATGCTTAGAATTTAATATTTTAAATAATTTTATACTGGGAAAATGTCTGATATTAACAATTGATTAATCATTAAAGCCACACATATTATGGTAAATAATTAGTTGAACAAATTAAATTATAGTCATTATTTTTAAAAAAAATGCTCATTATTTTACACCAGAGACTTTTTGAAGTTTTTCCGAAACTTCAAAATGAAGTTTGTCAGTTTATTATTTGTATTCTTAAATTATAGTATAAGGTATATGTAAAAATATACATTTTGAAAAAAAAAAACATGGATATACTTCAAACGTGGGTGGGCTGTTGTAGGTTTGAAGTTGGAAATGTAGTGTATGGGAAATTTAATGTATATTTGTATGCAACGATTAACTATACAATTGCTAATGAATAAACAATTCTGAGTAGAGTTCGGGTAATAGTGTTGCTTTGCTACAATATACATGTCATGTTAGGCTAAAATAATTATATAATAATGTCCACCTTAATATGGTATCTATATTCCCGTTTTTTCTACGTTTTTTTCAGTTTTTCCATTTGTTGGGAAAAATCATGGGAAAATCAAAAAGTAACCTCTTTAAAGTACCACTCCAGTAAAATTTGCTTTTTAAAAAAAGTGCTATAATTGTAAATCAGAGCAAAATTGCGAGATATAGGTATGTGAAATTTAAAAAAATATACATGAATTTGGCCCCACTTTGGCCGATCGCTTCCGGAAAAATTGTAAACAATTGTAAATAATTGTAAATTTGATCATCGAATTTGTAAATGCCTCTTTCGGCCGTTATGTCAAAAATAAGTTGAGGGAGGAAAGTTCACGTTGTCCCCTCACTTTAGTCGATTGCTTCCAGACGAATTGTAAACATTTGTAAGTTCAATGTAAATAGTTGTAAATTCAATTCTCAAATTGGATATCTAAGTTAACGTACTTCTTTACTATGGCCGATCGACTTTGGACATATTTGAGGCGTTAAACGCAACAGTGGCTCAACCCATCGACATATGAAATGAAATTGAAATTGAAATTTTTATTTAGAACTAAACATATTTTAATGCAAAACCATACTATTTTTGATTTTTTAGTTTTCCACTAGAGAGCAGCACTATATACGTTGTTGAATTAATACATTGTATGTTCCATAATAAAAAATCTAAAAAAGCTGTTTATTGTAATCTATGACATAGGCATAAATTATGACAAATTAGTTGGTATAGGTTCATACTTCCAAAATCATTTGGCAAACCCACTTTGTACATTCATTTTTATCAAAAATGTACCCCACCATTTCAACTACCCACTAACAACAGTGGCCGCACTCGTCTTCGGCGTCGGCTCTTTTTAACTGATTATGTGCTCTATTATATATTTTTCTATCATCTTTATCAATTTTAAAAACTTATTGTTTGAAATTATAAATTCATTTTAATGCCAAATTATTAAGTGTGTATCTTTATGATGAAAATACGGAAAAAAAAAGGGAAAATGAACGAAATGTATTATTTTCCAATCGTAAATATCACATCCTTTTAAAACACGTACAAACGAACTTCACTCTGAATCGTTTTCCGTTAGCAAAGTTTAATGGTTGAGTACAGATATACATTAAATTCCCTTCTGTATCCTACCGTCACATCTTCTTACCTACAACAGAAAGTTTCCCGGATTTTGTCGGCTTGCACTTATAACCGTAGACCTTTTTGTAGCTATGCCATCTTAGGGTTGTCCTAATCTGTTAGCTAATCAAGAGTCATTTTTCGATTTCTCCAGAGTTTTCCCAGCAAATGTGAAAAACCACGAAAACACACGGGAAAACCGGGAAAACGTAGGAAAAAGGGAAAATTAGTACTTTATTAAACAAATATTTATAAAGAAAACATACGAGTATAATGCTTATTTAATTATTTTACCATAATATGACATACATATATTGTTGACAAAGCATCACTATAAACTGAACTCCGTTTAGAATGGCTTTTAGTAAACAACGGTTTATTGTTGTTCACAGATATACATTGAATTTCCTCTCTACTATCTTCCCAACCTCTCACCTATAACAACGACTGCACCCTCCTCATTATCCTAGGACAGTTTTTTTTTTTTTTTTAAATTATTAATGTTAATCTAAAGTTTATTTGTACATTAACTGTACGATATACAGTGGCATACTTAGGTCTATATTAGGGGGTGGGGGTGAAATATATTTTCACCTATTCTTAAAACGGAAAATTTCTTAGAAATTAAAAGAATATAACAATACACATATATCGTCACATATAATTGTACGACCCACAGGTACGCCACTGACAATATATAAATATTTAGCGGCATCAACAATGACGTATACTACACATTAAAGCGCCCCGAGGGTAAGTATTTTTCGACACTTGTAATAGAAAATAGAAATTGTATTCTTTCATATCAAACAGTACCCGAGCAAACTTACCACGTAAAACATTTTTGTTTAATCTGAAATAAAGTAAATTCACATTTATACCATACGCATAGTTATGTATCTGTACTTTTTTTTCATAATATATCCAACATATTTGTTTGAAAATATGAAATAATTGTTTAGTATGGTTGTTTGATTCAATATTGAAGTAATATACAGCTATGCAATTATGCAAATATGGTTATACATTTATTATGCTGTCATCAGCTTTATCTGCAAAGTTTATAGTTACAGATTAGGTAAGGTTAATTTTCGAAATCAATCAAATTGACATAGACTGGCTCGCTACTATGCCTGCTTTACGTGCACTGCTTAACTGCCGTCTAACCCGGCTGATTCGATAGTCGGCGGAATCGTAACAGCGATAAATCATAGTTCGGATTTTGACCGTTCGGCTAGCTTTTTCACGTGTCATCCCGTGTGAAACCCCGAAACTTCCGCGCATTCCGGAACGTCGACGGTACCACTCCACTAGCCGCTCTTCCCGCGGATCGGCCGCAAGGGCGTCAATTAAAACTTTTTGGAGGGTATGAATTACGTTCACAATTAGGCAGGCCGAAAAAAAACATTTTCAGCAGACCCATATATATATATACGTATATGTGTTACTGTAGCGTACAGAGTTATTACGAAAACGATTTGTTACGCATGACGCACCGTGTTTTATACGGCCGCCAGTCACCGTTATCGCCTAAAGGGCCGGTTAAAAAAAAAAAATAAATATTTTTTCAAAAAAAAAAATAAATATTTTTTCCCGAAAAATTTGCATGTAGTCTGGCCA